CTGGGAGAACTGTGTGAGGTCCCAAGGTGCCTACTTTGAAGGGAACTGAGGTGTCATTGTTCTATGCACAATGTTTCTTGTATCTTATATCTTCTTTAATAAATGTCTATATTTTTCATACTATATGGCTGGATACCTTCTGGACATACCTTGTAAATATACACACCAAGGTGTAAACTCAGATATTTGTGACAGCATTATTCACAGTGACCAAAAAGCAGAAAAGACCCAAAGTGTCCATCAACTGATGAATGGGTAAGCAAAATATTATGTATCCATACAATGAATTATTTGCTGATGAAAAAGAATAATGTACTGATAAAGCTACAACATGAATAATTTCGAAAAGTGAGAGAAGCCAGTTGCAGAAGAACACATATGTTTCCATTTGGATGGACTGTCCCCACAAGGCAAATATATAGAGACATAAAGGAAATTAGTTATTGCTTAAGATTGGAGGTTGGAGTGGAAAGAGACTGTAAGTTAGAATCAGTTTTCTCTTTACAGTATTGAAAATGTTCTAAAATTAGATTGTATTAATGTTTGTACAACTCTAAATATGCTAACATTCAGTGAATTATACACTAAAGATAGGTAAATTTTATGTTATGCAAATTACATCTCAGTAAAACTATTTTAGAAAATGAGCTTGCAGCTTGTAAAAATTTTGTCTTATTTCAAGTTGAATCAGGGTGGGTGTTTGGGACGGTTGGACAAAAACTAAATGTACTGACATCTATGAGGTTGTTTCGTAAATCTAACTACTGTCATAAGTAATAAAATTACTGCTCCAATAGTATCACACATGCCTGATATGGTTATAGAATTTAACTAATTATATATTACAACTTATCATTGTGAGGCTCAAAATGCTTTATGATTTAGAAAAGGATGGTAACATAAATCATGTAAACAAAACCAGCCTCACCACCTGCTACAGCATTTTATTCAAGGCTTCTAGAGGAATCTAAATAACAGCCAGGTGCAAGCATGACTCTTACTAGCCAGACATTTCAATTATAAAGGTATTTTATAATATATATTCAAGATGCAAACGGTATTGCTTATGTCTATGGATGGCAGTTAAAAAAGGAAAATATACACTTTTATCAACTCTATTCAAAAGAACTTTTGGTACTCTATTCTCATTTTAAATCACACTGTGGAAAATATTAAGTTCAAACAATTTATTAATGTATTTTTAAAACTTCCTTTTATTATATAAAGATAGTAGAAATGAAATCTTTGAAAAGTAGTTTCTCAGTTTTGGGTAAAAATTCTGGTCTGTAAGACAGGAAAACTGTTTAGCCGGTAAAGCTATGTCACCATGCTGCAATCTATGTGGTATTATTACATGGCTGATTGATATGAAATAAGTTTGTCAACCTCCATCACTATGAAATTATGTCCAAAAGTGAACTTAATCAGGGATTAAGCCATTTCTACTCTACTGAACTTTTCCAAAAAATATCTCTGGAGTCAATGATGTTGAGATCTGTTCATATAGAAGGATCACTTTTTGGTGGATGGGTGGAAGATTCATTAATTTTTTTTTCTGTGGCAAAACATACATACATAAATTTACCATTTTAAAGCATTTTGAAATGTGTAGTTCAGTAGCAATAAGTACATTTACATTGTTGTACAAGCGTCACCACCATCCGTCTCCAGAACTTTGTCATCTCTCTGAACTGAAACCCATATCTATTGAACAGTAACTCACCATCACCCCCTCCCTCCAGCCCTTGGCAACTACCATTCTATTTTCTGTGTCTGAACTTGACTGCTCTAGGTACTTCATTTAAATAAAATTGTACAGTATTTGTGCTTTTGTGGTTGGCTTATTTCACTTCATATAATGTCTTCAAGGTTTATTTATGTTTGTAGCTTGTATCAGAATTTCCTTCCCTTTTAAATCTGAATATTTTATTGTATGTATATATCACATCTTGTTGGGTTTCTCTAACGTTTTCACGATGGTTAATACTGCTGCTACGGATGTGCATATAGAAAGATTCATGCCAGGCACACAGCTCCCCTTTCCCAAGTCAGCCATGTTATTATCTAAAGGCATGTTGCGATAAACATGATAAAATTCACAGTTAATGGATGCTCTTAACAAAGTTTCTTCAACATAGGTTGACTGCTCTTCAAAAAAAGAAAAAAGGACATGCTGTTGTTGAGAAATACGTGTCTGTTTCTCTTAGTGTCTGTCTGGGAGCAATGGCTGCCGGAACAGAAACTCAGAACCAGAGCCAAGGCACTAATTTGTGGAGCTCAAGTATTGGGCTTGACATCTTCCTCCTCCCCATACCATTTCCATGAATCCCCCAGAAAGATGTATCAGTTGAGAGCAAGAATCTCACATTTAGTAAAACATACAAAAACTGAGGAATTCATATGTTATATAAATGTGAGGGGTTTTTTTTTTCAGTAAAGGCACTCCAGATTAGACTGCATACTGTAACAGGATAATGCTGGAAAAAATGTAGCTTTATATAATAGCATTATATTAAAAAGTATAGTTATATGGTATTGCACCTTTGGTTTTTTAACAGCAAACTATTACATGCATTCATGTTAGTGATTCTGTGCCATACATTTATCTAAGTGCTCTTTCCAGACTCCTCCTCCCACCCCTCCCCCACATACATACCCCTTTGTTTCTTAAACTATGGGGTAGGCATAATCACTACCTTTCCCACTGCACAGAGGCTACACAGCCAGTAAAGTGGTGGCGGACCTCGGATTAGAACCCAGGTGTCCTGACCCCAGGTTTTATACTAATCACTGTGTCTTCCTGCACCCTGAATTTGGTGGTTTTGCCCATACAAGCTCATGATCATTTGGAAATGCTCCTGGTAAGACGGGAGTTATTTTTTTTTCCAAGGAAATCATCATTTGAAATTTTCTCCCAACAGGTTTTTTTTTTCCATTCGAGTTACAATGTACTTACTAGCTCTTTTCATCTTCCCTCAGCATTCTTTATTATTTTTCTCTTGACAATATTTACTGCATTTTACAAGTACCATCAGTATTAATAATTAGGATACCATGCATCTATTGTTTTTCTCTCCTTTTCAAAAATAAAGTAAAAAATATCAATTTTTGTCGCACCTTCCCTGATATATATTAAAACAGCATTTTATACCTTTTTGTTTCACATTCAGTCCTGTAACTAATTTTTATTCAGTATACTCTTGCACATCCAAAACCAGTTTACATGAAATTTCCATGGAGATTTAAAAAACAATTTATTTTCCATCTTAAGTCACCTATGTGGAGGAAAACTGGCTTTCTGTCTACTGTAAATTCATAAACTGCTACTCATCAGTCAAAAATGGAAGGGAAAAGTGAGACCTGTTATAATGTAAATCATACACTCAGGGTGTGTGGGAAGTTAGGTAAGTGATATTGTGCTCCAAGAAAGTATAAAAGTTGACTGCATTTTTATAGATATTGCTGAACAATAAATTTACAAAAAGCCTGTTATAATTTAACCCTGATTGTAGTCATTTCCTTATTCCTGGTGATTTCACAAATAGATGAGAAAACTTTTATTTTTCTGTCCCAGTTTTATTAGGGCTTTATAAGCTGAAACAAAAAGACATGCACTAAAAATCTTTGCAATTTCATCCTGCTCCCATTAAAGTGTTCTTCCATAATCAGGTTTCAGGATGAAAAGCATCTGCCTACCCATACCACAGTTATATTTCACTTTTGTTCTGCAAGATTGGGTGCCTCCTCTGCATGTAAAGGGGGGCTATGCAGAAGTTTTGTGCACCCCAGGATGGGTTAATGCTTCTTCTTTTGGAAACAGGTTTTAAACTTTTAAATGGCAACTTTTCTTTCAAATAAAAAATTCTAAGTGATTTTAAAAATAACTTATTTATATATTTGGGTACCTTCTGTCTTTAGCACCATGCGGAATCCAAGCTTCAACCCCCCAAATCTACAGGTGGAATCGTGTCCTCAGCCTCGGCACCCACCAGGAGCCCAGGACCACCTGTGTTGACTGGAGTCTCCTTTCCCCTCAGATGCAGGCTCTGCTGTGGGCAAAGTCCCAAGTGGTGAATAAAGGAACTCTAGAACTGAGACTGTCAAACAAAACCTCGGAGAGTGAGGTTTCATTTAATAACATAGAAATGCAGAATCAGTTTTCTGAAACATGGGGGGCTCCCTCTACAGAGGGAGCCAACTTTGGATTGGAGACCATCCCCAAGGCAGCCCTGGGGGCCTTGTGACTGTGTGCTGAAGGCTCCAGAGTCACCACTGGACAACTGAGAGAGCTCCTGGGATGATTACTCAGCAAATACAGGATGACTGACCCCACATGCTTGGAAAGTATCTAAATGTCCTCCCCTCCATTTTTGAAAACTTGTCATAGAGGGAGAAGGAAAGAACGACTTCCGTTGTAACAGTAATCTCTACTGGCTGCTCCCATGCTCATCTCAGGGCTGAGGCTGGGAGCAACTTCTGAGAAACATGTGCACCTTGGGGGAGCCAGCCAGCAACTCCAGATTAAAAACCCTCTGCAGGTATGGTAGGGCACTGCCCTTTTCAACAGAACCTTCCAAGACTTCTTTTATTGGAGGTCCATCTGAACGGTTTCTGGGATTATCGCGTTTTCCTAAAGCATTTTTGGAGAGCCAGACGAGGTGCCAAGCTATGTCCCGGGCAGCTTGCCTCCTTCATGAACGACTTCTGCCGACAATCCCCGTCCCACAGTCCGGGCACGCCCGGGTCCACCTCAGTCTCCTGGGACAAATGGGGCGTGGCTTCGTGGCAGGCAGGGGGCGGGGGAGGGGCTGGGAGGGAGGGGTCACCAGGCCAATGCCGCTGGCTCTGGAAAAGGTTGGCAGCGCCCCAGAGAGAGAACGAGGAGAGACCCTGAAGGCCGAGCAGGACCACACTGAGAAAGTCCTGTGACGGAAAGGCTGCTGCGACCCCATTCTCCCTGCACCCACGGCTGGGGCTCTGTGACGCGTTAGTCCCTACCCATGGCAGCAGCGGTGCCTGGCGGAGTTTGGATGCTGGCGCTGGCTCTGAGGCTCCTGTCCCCGGGGAATGGTCAGCAAGGTAGGGTGCTGGTGGATGGGAGCGCAGGTGCGCCACTTGGACTTTTGGGAGAAGGCAGCTTCCGGGAGATGTGCGGAGCATCCCTGTACGGCTGCATCTGATATTTGTCCCTCTTTGACTTACGCTGTGACCAATTGTTGTCTCTGAATGATCACTTTTAGTTTTCCTACGTGCACTGGCGGCCGTTGCCTCCTCTTCCCCTGCTTTGAGACCCTCAGTCCTGGGTTTTTTATTTTGTTTTTTTTTTATTGTTTTTTGCTTTTTTCGTTTCCTGCTGATATTCTCCTCCTTAAGGTCCCTTTAAGGTAAGAAACTTTGTTTTGGATACTTCAATTATTCTAGCTGCAATTGGATGTAAATTATCCGAAAAGAGTTTAGTTCCAAACTGCACGATTTCTACTCCGCTCCTACCCCAGAGCTGGAAATGATGCATGAGAATTTTATTCCTACAATAAATCAGTAAGTTAAGTTTTGTGATGATATTTTTGTATAGCTCTTAGAATCCGTTTTGCTACTTACCGCAATAGAGATCTCTAGGGAGAGAATAGCGCCCCTCCCACTTCTTTATCCACGACAAAGAGAAGTTCAAAATACAATGAAGTTAAAACAAAATATCCACCCAAGGCCGAAGACTGAAGACTGCACGTTTCCTTGGCTGAAGCTGAAACACCCAAGACCTCTCGAAGAGCAGCACAGAGCAGATGCTCGCGGTGGAGCAGAGGGGCGTGGCCGCCCGCGGATTCCGGGGAGCAGAGCTGAGCGGGAGGGGGACAGAGCAGAGCTGGGGCAGAGATGCCCAGGCTGCCTGGCTGAAGAAGGGCCTGGCCCCAGGGACACCCGGCCCCGTTTCACAGCAGCCAGGGTGTAGCACTATCTGGCTGTTCTACAGCAGTGCAGTTTTCACAGTCATGCTGTATTACCCTCCAGCTGTTTGCACTGAAAGAACTTTTCTTCTTCACCGCATCCCAAATTGGGGATTCCTGTTTACCTTTAAATTGGAATGAATGACTTTTGGTTGACATTCCACGGGTCCCAAGGTGGGGCTCTGAAACCAGGACTACATCTCCAGACACCTTTCAGACACCAACTCTGTGGAGCCTGAACAATCCCTGGGCTGGGGTTGTCTTCCTGGGGGCACCTAAGGAACTCCCGGGCTGTGATCGTGACTCATTGAATTCAACTTGAGACTGAGTGAATTTTTACAACACCCTGATTCAGTATTACTATTATACCTAAAGTTCAGAGGGGTTAAAGGTCACTTTCAAGGTCAGGCAGCTTTTGATTAGGAAAACCTGCGGAGAAGTCCAAATTGTCTAATGCTGGTACCTATACTCCCTCTGGACAAGCCTGCTTTTCAGTGTCATACAAGCTCTCACTATCTGCAGGTGCAAAGGCAGAAGGGCACTATTCGAATTACAGTTGTGTAGAAGCCTTCAGTCTTGGGCAGAGGTGCAGTGAGAGGCTGATTGTCTAGAACATGAGGGTCTCAAGGACAGAATTAACAGCTCCCTCCCCCTATGGGAATACTGACTGTGTGATTCAGAATTGTGGCAAGTAAGGTACAGTTATGACAGGTAGTAGTGGACTCCTATCTCATGTGGCTGGGATGCTCTGGTGGCCTGAACATCTGTACCAGGGATCCCGCTGAGCCTGAGAAATTGCATCCCAGCAACACCCACCACCCTGTTTGCCTCGGGTCACATCAGCAGCTAGAAGAACAGGCCACAATGGAAACTTTTTAGGATGTGGGAAATGGTGGTAAATTCATTATATGGCCAACACCAAAACATACCCACACAAATGCACCACTCTATACACATTGATAACCAAGACGGAGTTACCCCTTCAAACACACAGTTGTGCCAGACAAACCACATTTTGAAAAAAGTGAGTACTGTAAACAAAATGGGCCATTCCAAACCCACTGAAATCTCTGGGCACAAATTATTACCAACATACAGTATATAATACTTTAGATACAGTTACTTCACACACACTGGCAAGCTCAACATACTGGCAATTTGATATACAGTGATAGCTCCAAACACTCCCAACTCTCTGGGCATCTTAATTTTCTTATCCAAATAACCCAAGCATGTCCTAGGAATCACATGTCCACTTCAACTTAGGGAGAGAGGATCCAGACTGGAATTTCTTTGAGGCTATATCAGACCAATTTATACATTTTTTTTTATTTGTTAAGGGACATAGAAGGCATTTATTTGTTTCAAGAAATGAAAGAATTGACCCACTTCAGAAAAGTTAAGTTTCCCATTCTTAAATCGGTGGGTGGATGGTAACATTGGAGAGCCATTCTAGTCGATGTCCACGAGTTCCACGCATGGCCACAGTGTTCCCTCCTCCACTCCAAGAGCTGCAGAATGGGGGAGGGACAGGGAATAGACCTCTGGATTATGCTCCCCACACCGGGAACTAGCTCCAGATCATCTCCTCCCTGATTTTTGTGGTGATTTAGATCCCTTTGGGGTGATGCAGAGGCTGTTCTCTTCCTGGGGGTGAGAAGCCCTGTCCTCCGCCCCTGGGCTGTTCTGGTCCTTCTCCTTTTGCTCTCCCTGAGTGCTTCCATGGGACCTGAGGATGGGCTGGTCCTCCCGCTTCCTACCAGAATGGGAAGGCCTTTTGGTGGGAGTTTTCTTCTTTTCCTTTGTCATTCTAAGGGCTTCAGCCTGGCCTTGGGAGACTCTCTGGCCCCCATTCTGTTCACTCATATTGTTTTTACTCAGGCAGGCTGACATGAAGTGTCCACCTCCTGGACTTTCCAAGGTCTCTGTAACAGGGCTGCTGGCCATCTCCCCTCCTGCATCCATGCTCACACCGCCCTTGGGTGTTACTGCTGCTGCCCCTGGTTCTGGCCCCTGGTCAGGCCCTGCTAATACTGAGGCTGGAAAAGCCAGTGTGTCCCTAAGCACACAGCATTTGTCTGAAGCATATAGCTGGATTTCCTCCCCACCAGCGTAAGCAAGAGAGGTGGTCTCAGACACCTCATCAACTACGGTAAGGACTCTGACGCTGACCGAGTCACTGTCACCTTCTCCACGGAGCTCCTCAGCCTGTGCCGAGAGGAGGAAGAGGGAAGCAGAGAAAAAAAAATAAGTGAGACTAGAAAGGGCTATCACCGGTCTTCAAGAGCTTATCATTAAAAGAACCTTTGAAGTTACTGAGTCCAGTTTCCCAGTGGATGCAGAAATGCTCCGACGTCTCCCTCACAAGGGTCACTGCAACTTTGTTTACATGGTTCCAGGGCCAGGGAGAGCACTAGTGCCATTCACTGGGGAGCATCCTCACACTTTTCTTTTGTACACCTGTCTCAGCACTTCCACAAAACCACTTCATAAAGGGAGACTGCTCATGAAAAGCTATGTCCATTTTACATTCTGATAGCTACTAACAAATTGTGTGCCTGTGTGCAAAGCATGCTACAGTGCCACAGATTTATACAAAAATCAGTTCATGGCTCAAATATAGAGTGGACTTTCTCATAGTTAAAAATGTCCCACAGCAGATCAGACTGCCTGAGTCCACAGTGGTATGTGAGTGGTCCAGACAGAGTGGATGGTCAGAATGCTGTTGACAGGATTACACCATTGGGTATGAGGTTGGAGGAACTGACATATAAGGAACCTCTGGCATTCAGAAGCACTTGGGACCTCCCCCGTGTGGCAAGGCCCTCACATAGTGGCTCATCTGGCCTGAGCCCTTCCACATGCAGTGTTTCCCCAGTCAGCCTAAGGGTGCAGCCAGAGAGCCTTCTGTTGCTCTCTTGAAGCAATGGGAACCCTCTCTGAGAGTTTCTGCAAAAACTTACTGCTGGGCTCTGCTCGTCTTCTGTCTCCGACTCAGGTACATCCACCGTTTCACAAGCTGGTACGGCATGGGTACTGCTGTAAGCCTCTACTGGCGGTCTCAGGAAGAACACTAGGTCTTCCCAGTGTGCAAACAGGTCTACTCTTGCATTTGAAGGGGGGCATAATTGTAGGTAAAAAGAGCGGCCAGTGGCAAACTTCAGACAGAGCTGTTTTTTCTCATGACTATGGATGGATAAAATTACAAACTTCAAAGGAAGTAGCCTGGTCAGCTCCAAGCTATTCTCTGACTTGAGTCCCTTTCCCGGGGTGTGTCTGTCATGTTTGGCACTGACTGCACGGCTGTCAGCCGGTTCTGCCAGCAGCATGATGTCAGGTATTACAATGTCGTAGCTGGTATATGCGATGCCCACAGTGACCATCTGCACATGGTTGTGCACATCGATCAGTTTCCCTCTTTTGCTTATCTGGATGAAGTCGCTCTCAAATATGGGAATGCACTTGAACATGGCAAACTCGCCCTTGCGCAGCTGCCGCTGCAGTTTTCCCATGCAGCCCCAGAACATGGGCAGCAAGTGTCTGTTCCGGGCGCTTCCCTGCCACCCATGTCTCTCTTTCATTAAGACTACAGCATGTCCTCTCTGGAGCCTCCACCTTGGTCTGAACTGCAGCCCCTTGCCGGACACCCCTGTAAGCTTTTGCTGTCCATTGTGACCTGCAGTCAGCTGTCACACACAGCACTGTGTCCTCACCCCCACAGCTGCTCCAACAGAAAAGGACAGCATCCTCCTGCAAACAGCCACCCCACAAGGGTGGTGAGAGCACCACATTTTTACATGTTTTGTTTTGTGAAACACAAGGATGTTTCATCGAGGCCGAGTGTTTTCATGCAGCTACCACGGGCAATGGTATGTAAATGATTAGCATTCACAGGAAAACCACCTTTTATTAATCTATAAAGGTGATACTAACAGGTGACAAATACTTAAGGTTTTATATGAATTGAATACATTTTTGAGCCTTTGCTTAATGTTTTCTGGTGTAATTATCATAGAATTTCTGTTAAATGTTAACTTTAGTCGCCAAGTTGGAATTTAAGAATGTGCATGGAGGTTGAGCAGGGAAAGCTTTTCTAAGACTCTCCTTGTCTTTCCCAAGCCTGTGTTTAAGCCGTAAATGTCAATAATTGCTTTCTCACAAGTTCAATTATTGGGCTTTATTTTTTTCTGGAAATACTCTTTGCTATTTGTTGTCTACAGGGGGATCAATATGTTATATAAGGTAAATATTGCTTTTATTTTTCAATAATTGTTTTTACCTCAGGAAAAAAATAACATTAGCTTTTCTTGATTGTTTTATGTTATACAGATAAGAACTTGAAAGGTGACTTGTTCTTATGTTGTGTTTCCTTATATTTTTTTCAGAAATAAGTCTGATCTGTGTACAAATATTTACAGTTTGAAAAAAGTATGTGCTACGCTTCTAACTGCTTGGGTATAATTTTGTCTTTTTGTCATCTTGTTGACCTCAATCTGTCTTACTAAGGCAAATTTGCTCTGCAAACAGAGGGAGGTAAACACCCCACCCGTGTAAAATTTTAAAAAGGATATTAAAACCCAACTTATTAAGTTATCTCATAAGATAATACACCTTAACAAGGTATCTTTAGTCTGTGCCATTTTTGGTTTGCTTACAAATGGACTAGATGCTCAAGAAGAACTGTTCAAAGTACATGTAATAACATTAAATATACATTTATTACAATTAGATAAAATATATCAAGAAAAATGACTGATAATTTATAAAGGGATTTGCTTCAATGTTTACTATGAATCACATAACCCCTTCTTGCCTCTATATAACAAATAGTCTTATAGTCCTTCTCAGGTTCTAGACTCATATGTTGATAAAATTAATAATATCCAATCACTAATGTACTTTCTGCTGTATAGGTTTGCCTACTCTGAGTATTTTATATAAATAAAATCATATACTAGACTGTCTTTTGTGACTGACTTCTTTCACTTAGTCCAGTGTTTTCAAGGTTCACAGTGTATGTAGCATGTATCAGCACTTCATCTTTTTTTGTGATGAAGTTCCCATTGTTAATCATACACCACATTTTGTATATACATTCATCAGTTGATAAACACGAGGGTTTTTCCAACCTTTTGGCTTTTGTAAACAATGCTGGTATCAACAGCTGGGTACAGTTTTTGTGTGGAGTTGTTTTCATTTCTCTTAAGCATATACTTAGGAGTAAAAATTACTGGATCATAGGGTAGCTCTATGTTTAAAAGTTTGAGAAACAGCTAAAATATATTCTAAAGAGACTGCAATGTTTTGTACTTCACCAGTGTATGCCATGTTCAGTTTGTGCAAATTCTTGCCAACACTTATTATTATTTGAGATTTTGATTCCAGTCATCCTAGTGGGTGTGAAGTGACATCTCATTGTGGTTTGATTGCATTTCCCTGGTGGCTAATGATGTCAATCGTTTTTTCATGTATTTATTGGATATTTGCATATCTTCTTTGCAGAAATACCTACTTGGATCCTTCAATAATTTTTAAATTGGGTCGTTGGCCTTTTTGTTATTGACTCATATGATTTATTTGTATATTTTAGATAAAATTCTCTTTCCAGATGTGATTTGCAATTACTTTTCCCCACTCTGTGGGTTTTTTTCACTTTCTTGGTAATGTCCTTTGAAGTAGAAGTTTTTAATTTTGATAAAGTCCAATTTTTCTATTTTTTCTTGTTTGTGCTTTGTTGTCATACTGTGAAATCCAAGGCCGATCTAAAACCATGAAGATTTACCCAAAATTTTTTCTAGGTGTTTTATAGTTTTAGCTCTTTAATCCATTTTGAGTTAAATTTACCAATCTTATAATGTAAAGGTCCTCCTTCACCCTTTTGCATGCTGACAGCCAGTTTTCCCAACATCATTTGTTGAAGAGCCTGAATTTCCTGTTGAGTGGTCTTGGCACCTATATCAAAAATCCATTGAAAACCACAGTTACACCGGTCTATTCCTGGACTCTCAATCTTATTCATCGCTCCATGCCTGACCTTGAGCCAGCACCATGCTGCCTTGGTTACAGCTGCTAAACTAGTGATGAATAGTAAAGTCGTAAATGTTGAAATGGGAGAATTTGAGTACTCCTGTTTTGTTCTTTTTCAAAATTGGTTTAGCTATTCTGGGTCCCTTGAAATTCCACATGAATTTTAGAATCAGTTTGTCATTTTCCACAAAGGAGTCAGCTGGTATTCTGATAAAGACTGTGATGAGTTCGAATGTCAATCCAGGGAGTATTGCCATCTTAACAAGAGGAAGTCTTCTGACCCATGAACAGGGGTGTATTTCCATGTATTTACTTAGATCATAAATTTCTTCTAACAAGGTGTGGTAGAAGTAACATTCTAAAGGTGATCAATTCGTAAAGTATATAAATGTCTAATTGCTAAGTCATACACCTGAAACTAATATACAATATGTCAACTGCAACTGGAAAACTTTTTTTTAAATATTGCTTGTCCAAATTAAATGAAAATAAAGTCCTTGAAACTCAAATATGTAAAAAAAGCATTCTAGAGAGTTTGTTGACTGGTTTATTGTATATATGAGAAGTTCGAGTTAAGTCATCTTTGACCATTAAGAGACACTGACATTACAGATAGATGGTCTTTATGTGCAATTATAGGTTGACTTGATTTGGTTTATTTTGTTTTGGGAATCAATTTTAATTGAGAACTAAACTATTTTAATGAAGAACAAGCTTGCATAAAGACACCTATCTTTCCCTCCTAGCTCAGGAGTGCTCTCCGGGGGACACCAGTTACTTCAGAGCCCTCACAGAAGTGTCCATTTTGACTCACTGCACCTCCAGCCATCAGCCACTGAAGATCTGATATGTGACCATTCCCTTGCTGCTGGGTGGTATCGATTTCTCATCTTTGGCAGACCTGCTGAGATGCCAACCAAATGTGTCGAGGTATTTCAACTCTCACCAAGAACTACATGTGCTTTTTCTTATGTATTTTTTTAATAAGAGGATTGAATTTTATTATAACCAATTTATTTCCCATGCTGAATTATTATTTTAATTTTGTATCAGGATTGAATGAATCTGGAGTATTCCTGTTTCCTATTATATTATGTAATAAAGATAGTAACAGTTTATGCTATGCTCATGCAGTTCCCCAAGTGTTTTACCTGCAGCATCTCATATAATTTTTACAGCATCTGTAGAATGTAGTCTGTCATTTCTGTTTCCATTATACAGTGAGGGACATACATTCTTTGACAGAACACTCCTGGAGTCACCGAGCCAGCAGGTCAACCGGTCGAGTTTGGATCACAGGCCATCATTCTCCAGGGCTCATGTGCTTAACCACTAGTAACCTGCAAACCTGCTTCCATTCTTGTCCGTCTTAACTAGAAGGCTAATTTTCCTTATTGTTACCAACCTTTTGTGAATTATGCAAAAACAGGAATTATCTTCCCTTTTAAGCATGCCATTTACCTTCTGAAAAAAACTCAGGAAAGCTATCCAAATTTTAAGTTGTGACATTATAGCTGCCTTATTTTCTCCTTTTGATTTATTTGCTTCTCACTTTTGTGATGTTTTGCTTGTAATAAACTAAAAAAAATCAGAATTGGGAATTAAAATGTGAGGAAACTCACTACATCCTTTAATGTTTGAGTTGTTTTGGTTCTGTATTTTAGTTCTTTGCATAAATTAACTATAACTGATCTAGAACCTCACACAAATGTGAAGGTGAGGTGGATTTTCCCCCCCTGGCTGTTTTCCTGGAGGTCTGCTGTGCCCCAGGGGAAAGCGTTCCCGTTCCCATTCTCCATGCCCTCTTGAACCGAGACTTCCCACCATCTGGCTACAGAATTGATAGAATTTTCTTTTTGTCTACAGGATAATACAGATCTGTGTAAATAAGTTTTTATTTATAATGTTTAAGTAATTTGTGTGCACTATAGAATATTCAGAAAATAAAGGACAAGTGATAGAATAACATTCATTTTTAATCCACCCACACACTCATTCTACCATTAACATTTTTCAACTGTTCCCTCTTATTTATATTGTTTTGTAAGGTTCATGCTATATGTTCAGTTACATAAACATATTTATTTTTCAGTTGTAGCTACACATTCACATTTTCCTGTTATTAAAAATTCTTTATATCAGTATGAATATAATATTCTGTCATATATACATCATATAAACCACTAGCATATGTGTGTACTTTCAGGCTTTTGCTATAAGTAATTCTGCCATTAGCAAATGTGCATATAAATAACTTTTCTACTTTAGTCTTTTTGAAGCTTTAAATACATACAGTTAAACTGGTTTTCAAAAATATAATGCCAATTTTTAATTCCAGGAGCAATAGATAAAAATACCTTTTCTAGTGCTAGATATTCTCATGTATTCATTAAACATCTGTATTTATTCTTTATGTTTGTGTACCTTGTCCTTTTGTGATCTTAGAATTTTAAAATGGATATTGCATGGTTAAAATAAAATAAAAAATAATGTAATCATAAATAATATAATACACACTAAATATTTTACTGACAGGTAATTTTATCTTTATTAACTCTTGTCTTATATTTTAATTATTATTTAATCTAACCATCAATCTTTTCTTCAATGATTTTCCTTTGTTTTTAAGCATGAAAATAACAATAATACTAAAATCATAATCTGGCTAATGATTATTGAGTTCTTGCTCTGTAGAAGTTGTGTTATAAGCATTATTTTATTTATACTTCACAGCACTGTGAGGTGGGTACTATAATTCACCTAATACAAAAGGGAAGGGTGTTAAGTGCCTAAGGTCATTTTCATTTTGTAAGTGCCTCAGTTCTTTCCAAGTCATATATAGTCTCTTTTCCCTCTGGGTTAATTTCCTATTTAATTATTTTTCATCTGAATCTGATTTTGATAATTGGCCTCAAATGAGGCTTTAACTTCATTTTTTTCAAATTGTCCTCCAGTTATTTCCACCAGATTTTGAAAAATCCTTTTCTTCTCCCCTGATTTTTTTATGCTTCCTGAACTGTACATTATCTTCTTACATATACTATTTCCAGCAATTTCTTAAAAATCTCTCTAAGATCAGTTAATCTTTGTGCTATATGTTAAGATGACTTCAGACTGACTTATTTTGTCTTAGAATGAATCAGCTATTTTACTACATTATCTAATACTGAATTTCTCTTGTTCATAATACAATTGTAACAAATGGAATAAAGATATTTAAATCAAATAAGATGATATTAATTACAAAGAATCTATGTTTAAGTGCACTATTCCATAGTTACCTACTTTTTCTTTTAATTACAGGTACAAGTTATTAGAGTTTTTACAAGTATGATTGAGAAATGAATAAAGGTTGTTTAGAGGAAAATGCAAAATTACTTTATCTATCATGTGTGAAAATGAATTGGATTTTTACCTTTTGTTTTCTCCGATGCAAAAGATGAACCACTGCGGAACACAGGCTCCTATCTGGCTGTCTCTGCGAGACTCAGAAACACTGCCTCTTCCTGGGGAGATCAAGCAACTGACAGCTTGTGCCACATGGCAGTTTTTGCTCAGCACTACAAAAGATTGTTGTCTTTTTCAAATCCCAGTGTCTGTAAGAAATTGTGGACAATTTTTTGTGTACTTACTACAACCCACTCAGGGATGTATGGGGTATTGTGCAGAAGGTAAGAAAACATAGATGACACAAATCAACTGCTAATCCTGGAACTGTGTATGTTGATGTGTTTGTGCCATTCTCTGGAAAGGCTGTATGGTGTGAATGCAAAGCTCACGAGATTTGGTCACTATTATTGCTTGAGTGATGCTAATTTTCTGATTTAAATTGGCCAGATTTGTTTAGGATTCTTTGTCAAGATCTTAATACCCTCAAAAAATAATTCTTGATGTGAAAGTACCAAAGGTTAACCTTATGGGTGATAATATGTTTATAAACGATGATGCCATTTACCTTCTGATAACATGCAATAACAAGAGCACGTTTCCATTATGGTATTCTTCCTCAAAAGCCATAACCACAGTCTAATTATGAGCAAATTTATATGTAGAAGACAGAAAATACTGGAAGATACTGGAAGATACTGTTATATAAGTAACACTTGCCAATAATAATAATTATATGAGCAATACCTATGGATATGTTCATCCTGAGGTTGTTAGACTTTCCAAACTAGAAAACTCCAAATAAGACAAGTACAGCAAAAATATGGCAAAGTATGTACATACAATTACAAATCACGATTAATCGTATGGATGAAGAGATTGAGATTTGCTGTAGGAGAGAATATAGGAGGTGAGAGGAAGATGACATTTAGGATGGGGTGTAACCAGAGAAAGCCTCTTCTGAGAACAGGGCACTGACACTGAGAGTTTGAGGGTAAACAGTCCTTGGGCAGATATCTGAGGGGAAGAATGCCCCAGGGAACAACAATACCTGAGAGACCTTAAGGTGATAAGAGTGTGCTGTTCTTATGAGAGTGAAAGCAGGACAGGGAGTGAAGGAGACCATAACAAGACGTAGATTTGGAAGGGCAACGAGAGGGGAGGGGTGGCTAACATTTAGGGAGTTCTGCATTTTATTTTCTGTGTGTTGAGAAATCTTTGGACAATTATCCTGAGAGAGTGAGCCAGTAAATCATCGCATTGCTTACACAGCTGCTGGCCACCTAAACCTGGCTGAAAGCACTATGTTCAATATGGGAATTTGCCATCTGCTTGGTTAATGGCATGTCACTGAGAAGGAGAAAATCCAGAGAGATGGATCAGCTTCACTGGCTGGCCAACATGAGAGATTCAGGAAAATGTCTCTTGGATTTCTCTCAGCACTCTTGCCATAAAAAAAGAAAAAAAAAGAATTAGTTTTTTTAAAATTTCAAATAACATTATCAAATATTTGTATAAAGTTCTGTAGGTGTTTCAACAGAAAAAATATCTATATTAATTTAAGAAACACTGACAACTATTAAAAATGAAAACACACTTTCACACCAGAAAATGTGTAAAATACAAATAACAAGTTTAATAGAAACATTACTGTTGTATACTCTGAATTAAAAAATTCAATATTTAAAATTTGCATTTTTATGACATGCTTTTAAAACTCAAAAAAATTTCCTGTTTTCTAAAATTACTACCACCCACTAAATTTCTCAGGTTTGAATATTCAACATTATTTCTTTTACCACATTCAACTCCTCCTTCTGGTTTTAGGAAGAGGGAATTTCTGGAAACTGATTTTTGTTTCCACTCTTAATGTCTGGCATTAATGAGACATACACATGAATTATCCTCTCTGATGTGTGAATAAAGGCTTACCTTAAAATACCATTTAGAACTTGAATTAGACTGCATGGATGGCAAATGGAAGTGACAGCCTCTTACCGTGAATGTGGAGCCAGCGTTCCCTGCTGATGGTGACTTTTCCATTTTAAAATGTCAGTGCACTATATAGAGGGAAACAACAGTGAAGGGAAGGAAAACAGGACTCAAATCATCTATTTGGAACAAAAAGAAGAAATAAATGTTGGGAGAGAACAGAATGAAGAAATAAGAATTCAAAAAAATGAGGAGAGGCCTAGCAACCTCTGGGACAAATTTAAACATTCCAACATCTGAATCATAGGGATGCCAGAAGGAGAAGGGGAAGAGCAAGAAATTGAAAACTTATTTGAAAACATAATGAAAGAAAACTTCCCCAATGTGGTGAAGGAAATAGACATACAAGTCCAGGAAGCTCAGAGAGTCCCAAACAACTTGGATCCAAAGAGGAACATGCAAGGCATATCATAATTACCCAAGATTAGAGATGAGAAAATTTTAAAAGCAATAAGAGAAAAGGAGACAGTTATTTACCTACAAAGGAGCTCCCATGAAGACACTAGCTGATTTCTCATAAGAAATCTTGCAGGCAAGAAGGGGCTGGAAAGAAGTATTCAAAATCATGAAAAGCAAGGACCTATATCCAAGATTACTCTATCCAGCAAATCTGTGATTTAGAATGGAAGGGCAAATAAAGTGCTTCCCAGATAAGGTCAAGTTAAAGGAGTTCATCATCACCAAGCCCTTATTATATGAAATGTTAAAGGGACTTAGCTAAGAAAAGGCAGATCATAACTGTGACCAGTAAAATGACAATAAACTTACAACTATCAACAACTGAACCTAAAAAAATACAATACAATACAATACAATAGCACAAGTCTCCATGAATCTCTGGCTTTTCCTTTCAGGGTGGGTCAAGGTCCATTTTAGCCTTTTTATCTGCACTTAGATAGGAAATACTACCAATTTTACATAGTTCTTCCAGAAAAATAAAGATGAGTGACTACATCTACACTCCTTCAGGCTAGCATTATTCTGTAACAAAAACCAGATAGAGAAAGTAGAAGACAAGAGAGGTATGGAACAATATCCCTCAAGAATATAAATGCACTGACTTCATCATCTAGTTGGAAAATTCAATGGAATCCACAAAACAGCTACTGGAGCTATTAAATGAGGTTAGCAATGCTGAAAGAAAAAGGTCAACAGGCAAAATCAGTTATATTTCTTTATACTTGCAATGAAAAGTTAGAAATTTTGCGTAAAAGACCAATAATAGTACCAGATATATAAAATACTCAGCAATAAATATGGAAAAAATGTACATGAACTATAAAGTTAAAACTGTAAAATTTTGCTAACAGAAATTACTGAAGGCCTAAAATAATGGAATGATAAACCATGTCCATAAAAATCAAAAGACTCAGTGTTAAGATGCCAGTTCTCCTCAAAATACATAGCTCCAAAAAAGTCCTAATCAATATTCCAGCAAGCTTTTGTGTGTGTATGGAAATTAACAAGTTTATTATAAAATTTATTTGGACACAGAAAGTACCTATAATCCCTAAACTACTTTAACAAGGAATAAAATTGGACAATTTACATTATCTGACTGTCAGACTCATTCTAAAGTTACAGTAATCTACAGAGTGTTATATTAGCATCAAGATAGACAAATAGATCAATGGAAAAGAAAAGAGAGTCCCAAAATAAACCAGCATTGGCATTGGATTTACAAGCATCATCATGATAGTTGTTGAGATATTTCTGTAATCCTGTGCATGACTATGAGGAAGGCAATTTCCAAGGAACTGAAAACTGTGTATAAATTTCTGGAGATTGTAGTGTTTCATTACTTAATGCAGACTAAAATTTAGAAAACAAGATACAGAAGCTACAATAATTTCAAAATATAAACCCAAATTATCTATTTGATATAATCCTGAAAAGAGAAAAAAATTGTTATAAAAAAAAGGAATGTTTTGCCCTGACTGGTGTGGCTCAATGGACTGAGTGCCAGCCTGTGAACCAAAGGGTCGCTGGTTTGATTCCCAGTCAGGGCACATGCCTGGGTTGTGAGCCAGGTGCCCCTGTGTGGGGCACTAGGGCATGCAAGGGGCAACCACACATTAATGCATCTCTCCTTCTCTCTCCCCCTCCCTTCCCCTCTCTCTAAAAATAAATAAATAAAACCTCCAAAAAAGGAATGTTTTAGTCTGCATTAAAATGTGCCTCTCTGAAGAATTGTAATCTCATACACATCATATATAAATATATTTATATCTTTATGTTCAATTGGGTAAATATAAAATATCAACCTTTTGCAGCTGTTTCTGATGCAAAGGTACACCCATGCGGCCCTGATGAAATTGAAATAGGAGGTGACTGTGTTCGTAAGTATCAGATTGTATTTTTAATAATGTATTTATAAACTAATAATTTCAACAGGCTTTTATGTTCTGTGACTTACTTTAGATGTTGAATTATGATAACATCCAGCTTAGTGGATATCAAAAAAAAAATCACTTTATTATACCTTTAAGAAATAGTACTGGAATCAGCAAAGGTGCAGACTTGCACGTGTTCATACCCTATAGATGTGTGTGTTTATTGGTAGAGTCTTTTCATGGGAAAATTTAGCAATTTATCTCAACAACCTTAAAAGTCCACATGTATTTGTTCCCAGCAATTTGACTTCCAAAAATCTAGTTTAGAGAAATATTTAAAGAAGTGTGCAGGCACAGTATTTATAATAGCATTTTCCTAATAATATGGAACAATTGTAACTACCCTGTAAGTACTAGCTGACTCAATATTTTTGATGTATCCATAATGATAAAATATTCTGTAAATAATATTAAAATGCAGGAATACATTCTTTGACATTAGTAGATACTCATGATATACTGAAACTGAGAAATCAGATTATTCACCACAATCTCATTTTTATCTTCTAGGAATGATTGCATTTGTACCAATAAGTCTAGAAAGATACACCAAAAGTGTTAATGTGGTCATAATTTTTCTTTCCTTTTTAATTTACAAATTTCATTTTCTAACTTAGTTAAAATTTTTGTCATTTCACATATTAAGAAATCCCCTGCTATAATATTCCTGAAGACAAATCACATGAAGTAGATTGTCTGATTAAACTTATGACATGTTCCTAAAGGATGGGCAGAAATCAAAATTACTTATGGAAACATTAGCCTTTTTCTGGCAACTGTTGGCCAGATGTAATATTCTAAGTGAATATGGGATTGCTGACATATAATTAATATATTTAACAAAAAAAATTATGGTGAAATAAGCCATAATGACGTAAAACAAATTAGGATAGATTATCTAACATTTAGATATCATGCTTAAAAATTAATATAATTTGTCTTCAAATAATTTTTATCATAATCTTGAAATTAATACTCTAAGTAACTTTTCTATGTTCTATTTTAGTTGTAAGTGAATTTTCCAGTCCCCTTTTCTAGCATTCTTTAAACAATCTAATGTTTTATGGGAGAGTCTCAGTGAAATTAAACCCTGTAATTTAAGTTAAGAGAATAAGGAAATATTCCTAATAATAGTAACTTTAACCATAAAGTATAATTGTTTGGCTATTCTGCATAACAGGTTTGGATTATCTTTATCATACACATATATTATAGTGAAATTACTTTCCTTCCTTGAATAAGCAATAAATTTAAGATCCTTGTTATGAAATTTAGAATCTTTATGCAATTAACTGGAAAAAAATGCTATACAAAATCATACACAATTTGCACAAGTAACACTTGCATAAAAATGAGTAAAAAGTTAAGTTTCATGATAAAAAAGACTATATTAACATATTTAGCATATACTAACAGCAGAGTTAACAATGCAATAAAAATGGACTTTTCAAGCAGAAATAATTTACATGTCATTTTTGAAAACTATAAGTTCCTTTTAACAAATTTTCTTTGCTACACTGTTCCAAGCAATGATCAGCTCACCCAGATAGTTGATACTACTTAAAATGTTGATTCCAAAAATTTAATTTTCATGAGTTACTTAATTTTAGTCATTTTTCATTTCTTATTCCTAATAATTATTTCTGTAGTTTTTCTCCATTTAAAAATAAATTCAACTTATTTTTCTTAGTTTAATATTTTTACTCAGATACATTTTTAAAAAATCAATTCATACTCATTAGTAGTCTATTATTTCCTTCAAGTCTGAATATGATGATATGGCTTAATGTTTAATAAAATATTTATTATTTAGTTTAATTTGAGATATGAGGTTTTGTAATCTGATATCTAACAAAATAACACTAAGATATTTAAAAATACATAAGGTGCCCCCTATGCACACATTTAGGTTAAACTGTCATAATTTTTCAAAATCTACATTACAGAACTGAAAAATTTATATTTTGATTATCATGTATATCATAACAAATCTATACATTTTAGGACATTTTAAAATCTTTTAAAATTTATCAAGTAATTTTGTCTTTTCTTAAACAACAAAATATTTAAAAACTTATTTAGAAACATTTTAGATTTTCAAATTTAATCTTGCAAATGCCCAAAGATAAAAATTATAAAATTTCTCTAAGTTCCTGGAGGAATCTTTGTACATTTTAACCTCAGAAAAATGAAAGAAATAAGACTATTTTTTAACAGTGGTCTATTTCAGTGAGACAGTATAATCACTTCCATCAGGAACAGTTCTTTTAACCCAGAGTAATGAAGAGTTGTGTTGTAAGAGTAAATTATAAGGGTAAAATAGTAAGTCATTTGATTTTACATTATAGTGACTATTTTTCTTTTTTTTTAAACAAATGCCCTTTTTTTAAGATTTTATTTATTTATTTTTAGGGAGGGAAGGGGGAGAGAGAGAGAGAGAGAGAGATCAATGTGCAGTTGCTGGGGGTTATGGCCTGCAACCCAAGAATGTACCCTGGCTGGGAATCGAACCTGGGACACTTTGGTTCCCAGACCGCACTCAATCCACTGAGCTATGCCAGCCAGGGCTGTGACTATTTTTCTTGATAACAAAAATTATAATGTAGAAAACCTAAATTATTTTTGTTTGTTTTATCTTTTAGAAAAGGTAATAGCTTAAAAAAGGTAAATTAGTTTTTTGTTCAAGAGCTAGACTTTTTCAAGTGTAGACGTATTCAACGTACATTCATAAAAGCTCACTTGGCTGATAAATTTCTGTTATCAATATTTATATGATTATGGGTAAAAATAAGAATGTGTTACTTTGCTAGAGATTATTTTTCCTGTAAATGTGTTTTTTCTCTTATTTATACATATGTATTTTTATTTTTTCTAATTTTATTTTAATCATTGTTCAAGTACAGTTATTTTCTCTTATTATAAATCCATGAGTTCGTCTTTGTGAGCTTTTGCCATAAACCAGTGTCCTTTTTTTGAAATGCCCAACTACAAATTATGCATTTTTCTCCCACCAGGCCAGCTGTCTGCCTCATTGCCACCACCACCTCCAGGAAGGCCCGAGGTTGTGGCAGAGCTGATTGAGTCCAGGGTTTTCTGCAGGTGTGCTTTTGATGTTTCCCCTGCAAACAACTCAGTGGGATTCCTCATAGTTTGGTCTAGGCTTTCTTCTCAGGAAATCAAAGAGGAGCTGAAGCAGGAGACCACAGTTCAGGCATTCTCTCTGTTAGAAGTGGACGGCGTCAATCTCAGACTGGGAGACAGGGTATGTTCAAAAACAGTTGGGTTTTCTATCCTTTTTATGAATGTATTAACTTGCAAAATGGATTTCTAAATCATATCCTAAACTAGTTTTTGTCCCCATAATCTAATACACTAACGTTTTTCTTTTCCTTTTTTCCTTGGTAATTGTGCCAACTCCACTGATAACTGGATGAGTCAGTGATCTTAGTGACTTGGGAGTATTTGCTTCCAGCAATTCGCTGATTATTACTGATGAAACCTTATAACTTTATAACTCTTTCTGGTCATAAATGATATGCTTTTATTCTATAAATAATATTCCATTTTTTTACAATGATATCACTTAGTATCCACTTTTAAATACATCTTAAATACAAAGTCTACAATTTTTATTGATTTTGAATAATGACTACTTTATAAAAATGGAATTTTTCTCAATTTTTAAATGAGTTTTTAAATGTTTTAGTTTATCTTTTAAATGCCGCCTACCAAGAATTAAAATTAGGTACTTAAGTGTAATAATTTACACATATTTTCTCCATAATGTTATTGCTAAATAATTATTTGTTAATGATATTTACAGATATTCTGTACAGCTTCCATCTTTTTCTTGGAGAACCCACATGTAAAAAGTTTAGCCATTGAAAGCCGAGAATTCTTTGCAGGCATTAAGGTACGTAGCAGTGGAGATGGATCAGAAAGATGACTCCTCTAAAACAGCGTTTTCTTTTTTTTTAATCCTTCTCATTTGTTTTCTTCATAGTTGTTAGGTTTTCTTAGTGTCTGACTTCAGGACTGTAAAAATACTGTAAAAATAAAGATTTACAATCAATGAAAATGTCAGGACCTCATAGAACTCAAAACCAGTACAAAGCTTATTCCTGAATGAAGACCACTCAGACACAACATGGACCAGGGGAAAGAGTGAGAAAAGTGAACTACATTGTCAGAAGAGCATAGTCACAGTGGGAGGGGAAGTAGAGCTTAGACCTTGGAAACACAGAACCTTTGGGTCTACTTTGGTGAGAACTCAATAGACTATGAGGATTAGCAGTCAGCCACCAGGGAATTTCTGATTAGAGTAACAGTGAGAGTATTCTGTACTAAGAACCATCTGTTTTGAAAGCTAGCCAAGAACCAAGACTGCATAAAAACTTTCTGCCTCAACAAGTAATTCATCTATGAACTAGGATAGGGATTAGACCTAGATTTCAGCACTCACTAACTCCAGCTGTGGAAAGCAGAAGCTGTGAAATAAGCTGAAGATTGAGACATTTCAGTGATGTCTCAATATTTTGACTTTGGTGATGATAATATTTTGACTTTGGTGTTAAAAGCAATTGGATGTATAACTTATATCAGGGATGATATTAATCCCTAAAGATGAATAGACTCTTCCATAGCATGCCAGTAAACATCGGCACAAAAAGGGACAAGTACAGGAACCCTCCTGTCTCCTTTACTCTGCAGTGCCCACCACAGAACCGGAATCACTAGGAACAGGCTCCAACCAGACTGACTGCCACATGTCAGAGAACCAAACACCCAAACTCAGAGCAGTGCAGCAACTCCATGCATTATTCTGTGTGTTGCTGCTGTTTTTAAGAGTTTGGTTTTAATTGATCTTGTGTAATTAAAAATTCCAGTGTTTAAGTCATTACTAACAGCTCATTTAACAAACACATGACCCATTGAGAAAAACATCCTTTCAAAATTACATCATAAATTCTATTTTTACATGACTGCTCTGTGTATTTTCCTGTACCAGTTACAACCTGAATTGAGCACTATATCAGAAGATGGAAAAGAATACCAGCTGAGGATTGAGAGCACAGTTCCTATCATTTGTTCTGAGTTCGGTGAGCTTGATCAGGAATGCAAAATCTCATTAAAACTGAAAACCGTTGATCAAGGTAATATACTAAGTCCATTCATTTTTATTCTTAGATTTCAAATGATAACTAACGCTTTTTTAAACTCACTGAAGTGTTCTCATATAAGTCATTGTGTTACAGGTTTACATCGCATTACAGCTCAATCATATTAATGACACTGAATCACATTTATGATTGCCAGAGCAATCCATATTGAGTCCACGTTTATCCCTCCTGGGCTCAAAGTATAAATTTAAAAGAAAATAATGAACAATATCCTCCTCCTGCTCCTTCTCCTTTTTCTCCTCTACCTTTTTTTTCTTCTGCTTATCTTCCTGTTTATTCTTCTCTCAGCTTCATTTTCAGGGACTGAAGAACAAAGTGCTCTTTAAGATTTTCCACATCATATCAAATGAGTGAGGGGTGATAAGTTATGCTAAAAGTTCAAGCCTCTGCACCGTGGATCTCATAATGCATTCTCTGTAATTCTCTCCCTAGCATAAGCTTATGTATAAGATCTTTAAAAAGTTTTTCTATTTATTAAAGCCCTAGAAGAGAACATAGGTAGGAAAATCTCAGATATTTCATGCAGAAACTTTTTTACTGACATGTCTCCTAGAGCAAGGGACATAAAGGAAAGAATAAACAAATGGGACCTCATCAAAATAAAAAGCTTTTGCACAGGTAAAGAAAACAGTATCAAAATAAAAAGAGAACCAACTGTATGGGAAGACATATTTGCCAATGATACCTCAGACAAGGGTTTAATCTCCAAAATATATAAAGAACTTACACTACTCCACTCTAAGAAGACAAGGAATCCAATTAAAAAATGGACAAAGGACTTGAACAGACACTTCTCCAAGGAGGACATACAGAAGATCCAAAGACACGTGAAACAATGTTCAATATCGCTAGCTACCAGAGAGATGCAAATTACAACCACAATGAGATACCACTTCACACCAGTCAGAATGGCCATCATAAACAAAGCAACAAACAACAAGTGTTGGAGAGGTTGTGGAGAAAAGGGGACCCTAGTGCACTGTTGGTGGGACTGCAGACTGGTACAACCACTATGGAAAGCAGTATGGAACTTCCTCAGAAAACTAAAAATGGATCTGTCTTTTGCCCCTGCAATTCCACTGCTGGGTCTATATCCTAAGAACACTAAAACACCAATACAAAAGAACCTTTCCACCCCGATGTTCATAGCAGCACAATTTACAATAGCTAGGTGCTGGAAGCAACCTAGATGCCCATCAGTAAATGAATGGATCCAAAAACTATGGTACATTTACACAATGGAATTCTATGCAGCAGAAAGAAAGAAGGAGCTCTTACCCTTTGCAACAGCATGGATGGAACTGGAAAGCATTATGCTAAGCGAAAAGAGCCAGGCAGTGAAAAACAAACACCATATGATCTCACCTTTAACAGGAACCTAAATAACAAAACAAAGAGACAAGCAAAATATAACCAAAGTCACTGAAATAGGGGACAGACTGACAGTAACCAGAGGGGAGAGAAGAGGGAATTTCAGGGGAGAATGGGAAGGGTTTACAGGAACAAATTTAAAGGACACATGGACAAAAGCTAGGGGGAGGGTGGTAATGGGAGGGAAGTGGGGAGGGTTGGGTGGGTGGGCTGGAATGGGAATAAAAGGGAGAAAACTGTACTTGAACAATGATTAAAATAAAACTTAAAAAAAGAATAAAGAATAAAGATTTTGAATGGTGAGGTTTTAAACACACACACACACAAAAGTTTTTCTATTTAATTTACTAATTCTATAGATTGCACTTCACATGGCCACATGTATGTCACCGTCACAGCCATACATACCTGAAATTCTTCCACAGAAAAAGAGAATAAGGGCACAAACCATGTGTGCCAGTTATAGGACTGACTGGGTTCTTTTGCCTTCCTACATCTCTGAAGCAGAGCCTAAAGCATGTTAAGATATACATAATTTAAAATATAACATTTAAGAGAGATTATAATTCTGTTACCATACATTTCAGCATAAGAGATAAAATTTCATTTAGTAAATACACCAAATAAAATGTATCTAGGTCTTCATGTCTATGTTATTCCTAATTAAATCAGGGAAATAAAAGGATAAAAATGCTATGGGAGAGAAAGTCTCATGGGAATGGTGCACCCAGGAAAAGAGATGGTATGGAGGCCAAAAGAGGAATCGAAAGGCTATTCCAAGATACTTGACAGTAAACAGGTTTAGTAGACAATACCCAGCTACCCAGTTACATGGTAGCTCCTGCTACCATGAGCAACTCTATATTTTGAAATACAGCCCACAAGCATGAAATCAAACCCTCTGTCCCAGGCAGTTTTACACAGTCCTACTTCAGTCTGCCTCTGAAAAGCATTATGCAAATTGTACTACAGTTTATGAGGCTGAAAGAAGAGTGGTTATTGATATTTCAAATTATATTAGGCAAAGGTTTCTTTCCGTTACAAATATACTTTTAACTATATTTGCATGCTCTCAATTCTTTCAACAAATCAAGCATTGCTTATAGTGACATAAAACAGCCTGAATGTATTCCTATTATTTTAGAATTTTGCATGTTTTTATTCTTTGTCAATTAAATATGATTTTCTTTGTTTTTCCTGGAGGAAAATTTCTGGATTTTATTCTAGATATGAATCATTGCATAGGAACTTCTTTTGTGTATTTTCAGTACATCTCTACTTTCATTACAAGAAACTTGGTGTCTCCGAGTCTATTTCTGCAAAGACTCTACTGCTTTTTCATAGACTTAAGAACAATACTTGGCCCTCATACCATAAACCAAGCAAAATTATGGCAGGGACTATATCAAAGTTGGGTATATTCTATATTTACTTTAGGGAATAGTTTAACAGTTTGGATGTTTCTGTTATTTGTAAGTGCTTGATAAACACATGTATTCCTAGAAAAAAATGCATGAAGAGAAGCTTTTTTCCCCCAGGAATTTTGAACTTAGTGCAGTCTACCTATGTCAGAGAAATATAATTTCACACCTAAAAATGATGTGTGCAAAAAAGAGAGTTTTTAACAACTGTCTTCCTCCTTGATTCTCAGAAGGATTTTGCAATTATTAATCATGTGCGTGAGCAAACTTTCCTTGTAGACACTTGTTAGAGGATTCTATCCTTTTAGTTTCATTAGGCAAATTCCACAAGTTCCTTTTCATCAGTCACCATTTCCTTTCCAAATTGTTTTTTCTTATTCTTGGCTCCATAGGCAAGGAAGTATCTTGGGGTTCTGACTAGACTGGGATGTTTGAGAGGTAAAAAGAGGTAGAGAATTTATTACTAGTGTGGAATTACCTTAATTTGTTTTGATTTTTCTGTTTTTTAAGATGGTGAACCCTGTACCAATAATCATAGCTGCCATTCAATAGGTGGAACATGAGTGCAAGCCCTAAGACATGTTAAGACAGCCTGGACCCAAGGCCCAATTCTCAGGCAGAAAAAAAATCAATCTATGCTACTTAGTGTTAAAATTATAACTTTTTTACAGAAACAAAGACAAATTTTATACATTGCTTTTGAATTTTATATATTGCTTTTTGAATTTTATCTACTGCATATGGATTTAAAACTTTATTGAAAATAGTAATATGCATGTACAAATATATGTTTATATTAAAATCGACTATTCATAAAGATCAGGTAGAGTTCAACAGCTCTGCTTTTATTTAGACAAAAATCACAACTGCATTATTTTAAGAAAACTTAAGAAAAATCTCTCAATTTAATGTTTCATCTTAATCAACTGATCACATGCTTTGGTTGGTATATTTTGTCAGGAAAATCCTCCATGTATTTTTTGTTATAACATAGGTGAAGCACAACTAGGCTTGAATCTGGCACTGTCTTCCTGTCATGTGGACCTTCATCAGACATCACCCTGTGCTAACGGGACCTGCAGCCGTGCTCTTGTGCACTACACCGCTGTAACGGATTTTCTTCAAGATGGAGACAGAGTCACAGACGTTACGGTGGAACCTGTAGTTAGCGAGGATTTCCTGTGGAACAGCTACATTCCAGGCAGCATTCAGGTCAACAAATAAAAAAAAATACCTTTATAACTTAAGCTTTAAAAATATGTATATTTTATCATTGTATCTTGAAAACTTTACATTTCAAATTTTTTAAATATTTCAATTTTAAAATTTTATTTTCAGTAACTCTGATAAAAAGAATTAATTAAGAACATACTGAGATCACTAAGCAATTTAATGGATATTACTAAATAGCAATTAATGATAATATTTACAGAAAATATTTTTACTTTTAAGATCAGAGTAAAGGATGTCCCAACTGCCTACTGCTATTCATTCACTGACCCACATATAATTACATTTGATGGCAGGTAATTTCCTCAAAGATTTTTTCTTTTAATAGTTTGTGTTTCTTTACATTTTGTTGTTTTCTTTTTAAAAAATCATTGTATGTTATTATCTCTTAGTCCAATTCACTGAAAGATTAAAAGGAAGGCATTTATGAACATTACTGCATTGTTTCAAAATACTAATTTAGGTGTGTGGAATATTTTTTCTTTAAAATCTATTTTTTAGTGAATATATGGATTAGCAGTGAGGCTAAATTTATAAAAATGAGGATTCTTACAAATACAGACACTCATTTTACTTTTGCCATTTATTTTTAATAATGATTAAATTACTTTCTCTAGATATATATAATATATTGCATTTCTATGTGATACTGAAATAATCTTTAAGGTTTGAGGCAAGATGGTTAAACTAACACATTATAATTATTTAAAGATCTAATCACTTCTAATTCATGGCAAGGATACTCAGGGGAAAACCTATTGTAAATTATGGATACCTGGATTATGGATATTTGCCTCTGGAACTTAAAGTAAAATGGACAAATGACTGAAAAGAAATACAAGTGATCTTACTAATAATATCTGCATAGAAGGATTTAATTCAGTTATACTATTCTGGGGAATTTATGACTTTAAAATGTCCCTAAAGAAAATGATATGAACACATCATTCTTGAGTCAAAATTTCCTTCATGATGCAAGGTAATTTATTCTTTTACAAAATTATAATGTGACCATTGTCAGTAAAATTATTCAATATTAGCACACAGACGCAGATGCCCTCCGATAACAAACGATACTCACAAAGTTTGAACAAGTGCGAAAAGTTTATAGGAACAGATTCCACATGCAAGAACCCTTTGTGGTTATAATTTAAAACTTAGATGTTTCAGAGGAAAAACCTCATGGAAGTATAATGGTGACTAATTTAATATATTATAATCCATCAAGATTAATTGTGCAACCACTAAGTGACAAGCCATGTTCTAAATGCTGGGAGGTATGGCAGTGATGAGACAAACATACTCTACCCTCATGGAACTTACCTTTGTAAAGGTGAAGTAGATATGCACAGTTAATAAATAAATATATAGTATATCTGAGAAAGATAGGTATTATGAAAGAAATGAGAGCGAGGTGGAAAGAGAAAGCTGGAAGCAGGAGTTGAGAGAATTGTTGAAAGGGTAGCAGAATCATGGAGAGATTTAGGTGGCTATCACTACATACTTCCTTCAGTGCTCTACAAAAAAATGCTCATGATATATAAACTTATCAGAAATACAGATTTTTAGTTCTTGCAGGGAAGTGTATTGAATGCATATAAATAAATTTAACACACATTTTGGTTTGTAACATACTGTTGTGACATTTTATACCAATTCTTAATGAAATTGACTTTTGTTAATGATAGGGTATATGATAATTTCAAGACTGGAACGTTTGTGCTTTATAAGAGTATGTCACGTGATTTTGAAGTCCATGTACGTCAGTGGAACTGTGGAAGCCTTCATTATCCTGTGTCGTGTAACTGTGGGTTTGTTGCCAAAGAAGAAGGTGATGTAATTACTCTCGATATGTGTGGAGGTCAGCTGCGTGAATCACAGCCATATTTATTTGTAAAGAGCCAAGATGAAACCAGCAATGTCAAAATAAGTGAATCTTACCTAGGAAGAAAAGTCACAGTATGTATGACTGTTATTATTATTTTTAAAAGATTTTATTTATTTATTTATTTATTTTTAGAGAGGGGGGAAGGGAAGGAGAAAGAAAGGAAGAGAAATAACAATGTGTGGTTGCCTCTCACGCCCTTGACTGGGAACCTAACCCACAACCCAGGCATGTGACCTGACCAAGAATTGAACTAGCGACCCTTTGAGTTACAAGCTGGTGCTCAATGTGTTGAGCCACACCAGCCAGGGCTGTATGATTATTATTAAAATAAAATTTTCTTTGTCTCTACATATTTTAGATTTATCCTGAACTTTTCATCTCTATTATATTAAAAATTATCATTTTCAATATTAGGATTTTTTCCCAAGGAAATAACATTTAGATTAACACTTAACTTAGAAGGAGTAAAATACTTTACCACTGACCACACACAAATAGACACCATAGTTAAAACTTTGTCAAATCTAAACTTTCCTATTTAAGACTTCAATATAATTGTGTGGATTAGTCATAAAGATTATTTTTGAGACTGCCTGATAAATGATATACTAAAGATCAAATATATAATTAAAATAAATATTCAGAAACAGCTAGTCAGTTTTCAAAGTGAATACAGATGGTTCTGCCTGAGGAATAGGCTGGTAGACACATGGAAGACATTAGAAAAACAAGAATATTGAAGATTACCCAGTAATTATTTTTTAAATGATATTTCATATCTGTGAGCTAACTATTTATATTTTAAAGTCATCTTCCCTTCAGCTTCCAACAAAGTAAATTCCAGGTAAATAAAATTTTAATTGAACTGAAAGCAGTAGGTGAATGAAGGGGAATGTTTTTATAACATTGTGGTGAGCAAGAATTTTTAGCACAACTTTATATATTTGAATTCCATCATCAAAAACCAAACTATAAATCAAAAGCTGGGAAAATATTTGCTACATATAAAAAACACAGTTAATACAGAAAACACTTATTCATAACTAATGTATAATCAGCTCTCCAATTGTAATGAGCAAGTAATATAAACAAGCAATTCATAAAAGAAATAAAATTGATAAGAATGTCCAAAAGTATAAATAACCAAAAATATAAAAATTTCAACTTCATTAGTAATGAAAGAAATGCAGATCATACATTTACCATACAATATTGGCAAGAGTAACTAGTATAGCCTTTCCAAGAAAAAAAGTATGTGTGTGTATGTACGTGTATATGTATGTATATATATATATATATATATATATGAGGTGTGTCTGGAAAAATTCCAACCATTGTTAATATAACAAGAGTGGTTTTCGTGACATCACTGTAACCTGGTAGCCAAGGAGAGTGGACTGGAATGCACATCCATGAACAATGACTTCACTGTACTAGTCAGTGAGGGCAGCAGATGTCATTGAATGAACATGTGTACTGTGTGGCCGTCTCATTAGAAATGACTGAGTGAGTAGATCAATGGATCTGCATCAAATTTTGCATTAAGCTTGAACATTCCTCCATGGAAACTATTCTGATGATTCAGAAGGCTGCAGTTATGGCCAACTGGTGACTGGCAGCTTCATCACAGGCAATATGCCTGCTCACATATCACATCTTATGCAGAGTTTTTGGTGAAACATTAAGTCACCGAGGTGACTCAGCCCCGCACAGCTCAGATTTGGCACCCTGCAACTTCTGGCTTTTCCCAAAACTAAAATCACCTTTAAAAGGGAAGAGATTTCAGACTATTGCTGAGATTCAGGAAAATACAACAGAGCGATTGGAAGAACTGTGTGAGGTCCCACGGTGCCTACTCTGAAGAGGACTGAGGCAACATTGTCCTATGTACAATGTTTCTGGTATCTTGTATCTTCTTCAATAAATGTCTCTATTTCTCATATTGTATTGCTGGATACTTTCTGGACAGATCTCGTCTCATATATATGTGTGTGTATGTATGTATATATGTATATATGTAGGTATATATATGTATATACACCTATATATAAATGGAAACTATGCATGTCATTTTTAAGGAAATGTTACTTCTGAAAACTTACAATAAAATAATTAAGGATGTGCAGAACCCCAGTGATGTGCATTGCATCTCTTTTCTTAAGAAAGGAAAGTTAATAAAGGATGAATAAAAGAGTTTAACCAAAACCCTAAATATAGTGATGTCCTATAACAGAACATTTTGTAGTCATGAAAATTTTGGAGGACCTGTGTATTTATTGACAGGAAAAGAAATCAATGACATACAGGAGAAGTGTTCAAAGAATTTGCACCAAGATCCTAACATTAGCTACCTCAGATTGAGTAGTAATATGAAATTTGATTGCTTTTAAAATGATTTTCTGTAATGAACACCATTTTTTCTAAAAAGAAGAAAATGCAATTTTTAAATCTAAAAAAATTAAAAGAGGAAGTAGAATTGGAAGAACAGACACACATGATTTTTTGGTGAGAGAGGTTCTCAATGCATGTATCCAAGTCCCTGATCTGGGAGTGCGACACTCCTGAGAGGAGGATCACAGTTAGATGACACAGCCCATTAGGATGATTCAACAACTCCCCTGCTCACAATCCCAACTCCCTGAGCAACATCCTGGTTATAATTTGGCTTGTGATTCTCTTGTATATTGGCAGCAAGAGAATGCTGATTAGGAATATGTACCCTTCTGGAATTACATTTATATGTGTAAATCAATTACTCAGCAGTCTAGGTCAATATCAAATAATTACTATCAGAGACATTACATGGTAAATATTATTCTCAACATTTATAGCTGTTGTAATTGTATAAAATGCCTCACTTTAGTTTGCATATTTAAAGACAGAAGTGCAAACAAAATGTCTAAATAAAAGGATCAATGTGGAGATGAAATTTCAAGTCAGTAAAATGCAAAAAGCCATTATTTTGGCATATAGCATTAGAAGGAAAAGTGTATAGTATAAGGAAAAATCAGCATTTCATTTTTCTTTTTTTTAAGATTTTATTTATTTATTTTTAGAGAGGGAACAGAGGGAGAGAGAGAGAGAGAGAGATAGAGAGAGAGAGAGAGAAACATCAATGTGTGGTTGCTGGGGCTATGGCCTGCAACCCAGGCATGTGCCCTGACTGGGAATTGAACCTGCGATGCTTTGGTTCACAGCCCGTGCTCAATCCACTGAGCTACACCAGCCAGGGGCTCATTTTTCTTTTATATTAAGGGAATAAATAAAATTGTTTCATATTCTTCAATAGTAGTTTTTTTCTATTTTTTAAAAAAATTTTATTTATTTATTTTTAGAGAGGGAAGAGGGGGAGAGAAAGATAAACATCAATGTGTGGTTGCTGGGGGCCATGGCCTGCAACCTAGGCATGTGCCCTGACTGGGAATCGAACCTGCCATGCCTGGTTCGCAGCCCATGCTCAATCCACTGAGCTATGCCAGCCAGGGCAGTAGTTTTTTTCTTAATCTATATTGAATATTATTTTAAACGACTTATTTCTCTGTTCCAGATCTGGTTTTCTTCCGGAGCATTTATCCGTGCCGATCTTAGTGAATGGGGCATGAGTTTAACAGTCAGAGCCCCTAGTTCAGATTACAGAAGCACCTTGGGACTTTGTGGCACCTTTGATGAAGACCCAGAAAATGACTTCCATGACAAAAGTGGAATCAAAATTGATCAAACTTTTAATAATTGTGTTGCTTTTATTAATGAATGGAGGTAAGAAAGTAAATTATTCTCACTGGTTATTGTATTAATATTTGAAGTAAGATGAGTGGTGACTCAGCACTCTGCTTTTTTTGCAACACCTCACTGGGAAAAAATGTTTTTGTCCAAATTACTGTTCTTTTCTGTTTTCCGTCTTCAAGGATTTTGCCAGGAAAAAGCATGTTTGACACAATGCAGATTCCTCTGCCATCCCCTGGAAAACGACCCTACTGCAGCTGCTCCGCGGACAGCACCTCATTGTATCCATCTTCTACTCTTCTGGTCGCTGTTTCTCAGTCCGACATTGGTTCAGATTGCAGAGACTTCACACACGTTAAATTTTCTTCCTTGATACCAGTACTAGATGTCACCTCTAAATATATTAATTCAGAAGCTATTGTCCAAGGAATAAAGCATACATCTCAAGAAGAAAATAATTGGAGTTTCTCTCAAGAAAAAAAGCACAAGAACCTAACCCAACTGGGCTTCAATTTTCAACTATATCCTGAGAATGAGAAACAAGACGCACCAAAAGCTTTGGGCAATGGGACACGCACGCGAGACTGGGCTAGCCACAGCCGAGAAACAGGGCGGCGCCAAACAAACAGATCGGAACGGCACAGTTTATATGAGTTTCTTCCTTTGTTCGCTTTCCAAAGTCTCAGCCAGAGGGACCTAGAAGACTTTACTTATTTTTTCCCTGAGGACCATACCGAGGATGTCCAGCAAGAGTTTGTCCCCACGTGGCCCACACCCTCCGGCTTGACGGAATACAGCACCTTGGCCCTATGTCAGCAGACTCTAGCCAACTCCAGCTTAGGAAGGCACTGTCTCGCCTTTCTTGGCAAGAGACTAGACAGCATTATAGATATGTGTGTTAAGGATGTCCTCCTAAAAGATGACCTTACCTGGGCAGAAGCAGGTGTGGCCCTTCTAGAAAATGAATGTGAAAGGAGGATTTTGGAAGCGGGGAACTATGACACAGAAGAATATGCCAAATCAATCGAAGACATCGTCTTGGTACTGAAGTGCCCCAATTTATGCAGTGGCAATGGGCAGTGTATGCAGTGGGGATGCCTATGTTCCCCAGGCTTTAGTTCCTACGACTGCAGTGGCTCACACGGTAAGTGATACTCTCCAGCTGCAATGTTGGGAATATACATGATTATGAAAATATCTTTGTTCTTTTAGCAGAGTTGTTCAGATAATATAGGGGAGGAAACAAGTTATATTAACTAATACATTAATAATTTTCCAAAAGTGTCACATCTTATTCAGAGTAAAAGCAGAAGCACTTATAAGATAGCCTCTAAGGCACAATGTCATCTCACACACAATGTCTGTCAAAACTCTTCCTTACTCTTATCGTCCTCACTCATTCCATTCCCCCAGTTGGGCCTCTGTGCTGTTCCTTGAAAATGTGGGGTTCCCTTGACCTTGGGCTTGGCACACAGCTGGGCCCTCTACTAGCAGTACTAGCAGAGAATAAGTTTTTCTAGAACTCAAATTTAGTATTTTTAAACACTGCATTTATAATGTTTTGCTAATTATACTAATTTGTTCAATTTTTTCTCTAACCCATCTATGTGGAACTATTTTCTCTCAAAATATTAGCAAAAGAAATTTTTGGAATCAATTTGATTCCATTATCCAGTAAACCAATAACTCCTGATTTTCCTCCTACCCCCACCACTCTGTGCTTTCCCAACTGCAGAACTGCCTATCTCACTAAATGCAAAATTTATTTCCCTAATTGTTCACATTAAAAATTTGTAGTTGCCCTGGCTGGCATAGCTCAGTGGATTGAACTCAGGCTGCGAACCAAAGTGTCGCAGGTTCGATCCCCAGCCACGGTACATGCCTGGGTTGCAGGCTATAACCCCCAGCAACCGTACAGTGATGTTTCTCTCTCTCTCTCTCTCTATCTCCCTCCCTTCCCTCTCTAAAAATAAATCAATAAAATCTTTAACAAAATTTTTGTAGTCATTTTGACTATTTTCTCTCATACCTGATGTGTAATCCATCTGCAAATCCATGAGTTAATCCATTAACAAATTCATTAGCAAATCCATCTCTAGCTTCAAAAATATTGTATCTCTTTTCCTGTTATAAATTTAATCCAAACCACCCTTATCTCCCACCTGGATTATTACAGATTTTCTCAATATTGATGCTATTCAGCAGCTAAAGGGGTTCCTTTGAAATGTATATCAGACCCTATTACCCCTCTGCATAATTCCCACTAATGGCTCTCCATCTCCTTCCAAGTAAAAGCCATAGTCTCAACTACAGCCTAGAAGAACGTACAATAATCTGAGGTTCCTCTCTCATGGAAATCATCTACAGTTCTCCCTGTAGCTCACTGCTGTCCAATGGACATTTGCTCATTTCCAGAGGCCAAGCCTGCTCCTACCTCAGGACCTACGTACTTACGGATACCTCTGACTGAACCATTCTTCCACCACATGTCTCTATGACTGACTTCCTTCTCTTTGTTCAAACATCCAATTACAAGAGAATCCTTTCATCGTCCTTCAGAATGAAGTACATTTTCTAACATAACCTTATAGTCTTTGTCCCTTTTAATATAGTTAACTTACTTTTTCTCCATAGATATGAATGTAATATACTTTAATTTTAATAGATTTATGTAATGTAGTACTTTATTTTTTCACTTGTTTATTTCTTGTCTTCTCATATTATAAGTTACATGAGGGCAAGAACTGTTTTGTTCATTGCTATATTCTCAATACCTAGAATAATACCAGAAAAATAGAAGTTGCTCAGCAATTGTTTGTTGAATATATGAAAGAATAAGCTAACATTTTTAAAAATTATGAATGTGGTTAGGATTCTGAGTACACATAACTTATAATTTTGTATCCTATTGCTAGTAAAGTTATATGAGCTTAGATTTTGCCAGTACTTAGACAAAAGACTCAATTACTTTCACCTAACTGCATTTATCTATTTTGACAACCAGATCCTGCTTGTATAGATAATATGTGACCTTACCAAGAACAGAGATATAACCATGTGAAGGTCAATTAACTCTGACTACTAGAAGAAATTTTGGGGGGTTGAGAGGTACCCCTAAGATTATGGTATTGTGTAGAATAGCAATAATACACAAAAATATCAACCATACTAGAATAGGGGCAGACATGAATTTTGATAACTCTTTCTAAAGCTTAAAATAAGGATTTAAAAATTTCAATATAGTACATTGCTAACTACACTATTTTATTACACAAGTATTTTTCCTATAACACATCTCTATGGCACAAACCAAAATAGCAAAATCCAAACATAGGCCATTGTAATAGTAATTTCTCAATTCTTGCCCTTCATTGACATTAACATTAATTAAACTTGTATATTTTAGGGAATGATAGAGTCTGTAATAATATTTTTATTGGTTTGGTGGTAGACAACACTTTTGTAAATATCAGGTCACTCTTAACATTAAATAGTTTAATTAATGTCCTGAGTAATATTTGGAATAGACTTTAAAATATTATTTTACATTTTTTTAAAAATTTGGGCTTTGAAAGTAATTAATTTTAATCTAAAATTAAAGAAAATATGTCTTATTTTATTATTGTATTTCCCAAAGACAAGGCTCCTGAGATTATAGAGCTTGAGAATGCTGGCTTCTGTAATGTCCGAAAATACAACTGTATGATGGTGAGAGTTTTCGGTCGAGGCTTCAAAGAATCACCTTCATTTAAATGTGAAGTCACTAAACTGCAGGTATGTTAATTACAGAGTTGAAAAACAAGTTTATGAGTTATTCAGATTAATTTTATTTTGGATTAATTTGGTGTGTCAATAATCAACACAATCCCTAAGTATCATATCCACATATAAACAGGAAAATGATTAAGTTGCTTAACCTTTAAATTTCCTTATATGTTAATTCTATTTAACTATTCTATATAATTTTTATTGAGGTATTGGCTCACTATTTCACTCATATTAAGAAATTGAAAGAACATCAGGGTTAATATGTAAGCTTCTCTATTTCTTAAAATGTAAAAACATGAAGAATGGTTTTAATTTAAGAGTTCCTGCATTAATTATAGGATATAGAAGTAGGAACAATTCCATTTGCAAAGTGCTCAACCTTTATATTTCCCTTACTGTGAATTTCATACTGGAAAAATATAAATTTTGAGGCTACAAGAATCAGACATGATCACTCAGTTTGAATATTGGTATATCAAATTGTATCTTATTTTTAATGATTTTCATATAGCTTTATTTTTCTTTATTCAAGTGGAATTTTATTTTAAGGAAAGCTTTTTGAATTTCTAAAATATGATTTACTGAAAACTTAAAACAGTGAATCATATTTTAACACTGTTTTTACTTTTTCTCCAAACTGATGAAGTCAAATGGGATTCTGAGACTGAAAATTTACAGGAGAAAATGTTTTGTATGTGCTTTTTTTCAAGTATTTATACTCAAGAAGTATGGTTATCTCAAGACTTTATAGGTGTAATTTTTCTAAATGAGTCATGTAATATTTTAATGCCAATGAAATAACAAGGCACAATAGTAATATAATGTATATATAAATGTATTCACTTCAGTGAATATCACTCAGGCGAGCAGACATTTTATTTTTCTTGGCAGAATAAATCAAATGGCACCACTCTACTATTAAGTGATTTGCCAAGAGAGAATTTTATAGGTTTATATTCTTTTAGAAAGTACACTTTGTACTTCCTTTTAGACATATTTGCTGTGATATCTATTCTCATACCACATCTCTCCTCCAAACATCTGATAAAGAGACTACATTCTGGAATTCTCTAACAGACTATACAGAGCTATAGAAAGAAATATATGTTCACTAGTCAAAAACAAACAGATCAGCTATTTTCTTTTGCACCCTGTTCATTGTGTTTATGTATTTCATTTGTAATACAGTTGGGCTTACTGTTAAACATTTGTATTCCACCTTTTTTTTCACTTTTTTTATTGTTCTTCAAGTACAGTTGTCTCCATTTCCCCCCACCCCAGCCATCCACACTTCCCACCCATGATCCTACCCACCTTTGGTTTTGTCCATGTGTCCTTTATACTTGTTCCTGAAAACCCTTCCTCCTTTCCCCCACATTATCCACTCCCACTTCCCCTCTCGTTACTGTCAGTTTGTTCTTAATTTCAATGTCTCTGGTTATATTTTGCTTGCTTGTTTGTTTTGTTGATTAGGTTCCACTTCTGGGTGAAATCATATGGTATTTGTCTTTCACCACCTGGCTTATTTCACTTAGTATAATGCTCTCCAGTTCCATCTTGAATTTCCTCCACACTCCAGCTGATTTTAGTTATTTGCTTACTTGGAAGGTATGAAAAACCTCATCATGGTTCTAAGAATTGGTGTCATACAAAATATGGACACAGAGAATGTCCCTGTCTTCTCATCCCTACCTCCCCCTTTCCATCATCCTTTCATTCCATCCCATTCTGATCCATCCCTGGAAGGTATCCATTCTTATTATCTTCTGGTACAGTCTTACTGTTTTCTTTTGTATCAATACTAAGGCAAAAAAAAGCATCTATAAGATACATCCCTTCTCTTTTACATGAAGGGTAGCATATTATAGATGCTTTTTTCTACCTTTGCAGTAGTAATTTTAAATAACTTTGTGGTTAAAGATTAAATCGCACAATCATTTCCTTTATTCCCTCCTGGAAAAACAGCCAGGCCTCTACAGAATCTCATTTTAAATTATTTAAGGGGTTAAATTCAAGTTGTTATCCTAGAAATGAAGGCCACATCATGATCTGGCTCTTGACTATTTTTGAAGGCATGGACCTCCTTGCACGCACACTAACATCTCATGTTGATCAATGCATCCCTGTCCTTTCGCATGCTAGCTAGTCCCTGCAGCCACGCCGAGTCACACTCTCCATTTCTGCTCTCAGTGTCCATGGAGTCTCCATTTCTTACTTTCAGGAAGAAAAGTACTGTTTCCTTTTTGGAGTCTTCTTTGTGCTGGCTAGATTTAGTGTCTTCTTTCTCTGTCATTATACCTTTATTTTTAAATTTTGGTTATAGCAATAATAAAAATGTTTTATTTGTCATTTCCTGTATTATGTCTTTTCATAAGCCTATCCCCAGCACACACAAATATCCACAAAATATTAATAAGTAGAAAAGAAAGAAAACCTTATTTGTTCTTATTTTGGGTAGGCTCCTCCAAACAGAGGGGTGGAAATAATCCCTGTATTCCCAGTCATTGGCTGGAGTCTTATTTCAACACACAAAAGCTAAAGAGCCTATACCCATCTAAGTGTCAATATCCGGACAACCCCCAAGACATTGTTGTCAATCCCCCTCTGCTAGAGGGAAACTACTGATATATCTGATAGGCCAGACTCTATATCCCCCTTAATTATGGAAATTTGCACTGAAACCCACTCTCAATGATCAAATCTTTAGCAAGATAGTGTCTACTAGCCACAGTTTAGTGTGTTCTTGCATTCCATGCCTTTCCCTACTGACCTACAATATTGGAGTATCAGCAAATTCTATGACCATTTCTGAGTGATTAAAATGCATTCTACAGCCATAAATTTTTTTAAAGTCTAAATCTAAAGTTTGGGATTAAAATAAATCCTTTAGGTTTCTATGTAGTTATCAGTACCCAGAAAATTGTACAGGTTTTTCTTCTTTAGATACAATGCATTTCCAATACTAAAAAAATAATACTTAATGTGTAGGTTAAGCAAGACGTACCATTGAATTATTAAATAAGGTGAATTAGCTAGAATTTATTTAATTTCAAGTTACATAAATTCATTTGAGCTAATCTGAGCAAAAATGATGTTTATCTTGACAACAATATGTTTCTGTCAGAACCAAGGATGTACTGAATAGCTGAATTGTCAGGGAAAAACTTGAACTTGGGACTTGAACACTGTCAAGACTCAGTATGTGTGCATTTGTATGTGTGTGAGGTATCTGTCTTCTCAGCTCTGCTTTTCTCTGTTTCTGAGCTTCATTTTTCTCTTTTCTCCTCATAGTGAAAAACACGGCCACCAACAGCTCCATAGGTTTGTATCTTGCTACTCAGGCCACCAGAGGTGGACTGGCCCAGCACCCTCCCGTACAATTTAAAAATATTCCAAGTAATCTAAGCATTGGCTCAGCTTAAGTTCATCTCTGGAACTATAAAGTGTAGTTAGGGAGGTGACTCATATAAGAGAAAAAGGGGTCCTGTGGGAACGAGTCAGTGGAGGATCAAATGGACAGTTTCAAGTGAAGTAGAAAGTGAGGGACTTTCAGGAGACATGATCAAGTTTGTGGTCAGAAAATCAGTCCATTTTGTGTCCATTACATAGTCAAGTGTACTTCCTCTTGCTACAGTAGTCATTGCATAGTGATCCATTATATATGGCCAATATTAGTAACTCCTTTGATTTGGACTGAAGGAATGTGTGAGGGATTAAAAGCAGTTTACATCAAAAGAAGATGTATACATTTTTTATTTTTCTGAAACTATCACTGTCATTTTTGTTATTAGTTATATATTCTATTATACCAGGTATGTATTTTTCAATTTATATTTTGATTAGCAAAATATTTCCAAGGAGGTTCATTACTTTCTCATTATGCCTGCAGTATAATAGCAGTAAATGGGTCCCTGGAGAAGCTATCTCTGCACAAACTGTTTTTCGAAATAGCAGAACTGTTGACTGTCAACTGCCTGCTGACGGTCAGCAACCTGGTACCATGGATCCCAGGGGTGAGAAACCAATTGCAAAGTGGCAGTTAAAGGTAAAAAAGAAAATATTCTCATAGTTATAATTAAAGTAAATATATACTAAGATTTTATGATTTAAGAAGCTACATTTAGATAAGTTATCTTATTACAGAACTATCTTACAGGTATCTAATGATGGTTACAGGTTCAGTAATCCCAAAATAATGACAATATATGATGGCACTTGTCAAGTTTGTGGTCTCTATGGAAAGGACTCATGCACTACAAAGGTATGTATCTTTTCACTTGTTTTCATACTTTTCATCATAAGTGTTTTCATTTCCCATAATGTAGTTTTTAAACTTTCCTATCAGAAACACTAATACAGAAAATCCCTTCTCAGGTTTATACAAGATTAATTAAAATTGTTACTCTGTTCATAACTTGTTTTAAATGGCAAGAGAGAAATTTCTACCTTTAACATTTTAAAGTGGCAGATTGTTTATTCCTAAAACGTCAAAAGAGGAGGTTCAGATTGAATTTTCCCTCTTTCATACCTTGTTTTTAAAGTAATAATAATTTTCCAGTAAGATAGTGCTTCCTGGTTACTTAATGATCTTTGTGGCAAGTGACATGCATTTGTGTAGAGTCTGTAAAAGTATATAAGAATTGCACTTTTACAAGGAATTTTGTATGGCAACTAAGTCCATTGAACCATGAAAATCCCCACCACCTGAGGGGTTAAAGAACAGCATAGCCCGACCCAACTCCTCACAGCCACACCTTCTTATCTATATCTGGTCTGCCGGGTTGATCAACAGGTCTCTCCCATGTCCATTGGTGATTTAACAGATACCATGGATCTAATATTTGGATCTAATATCATTGGCTCTCAAAACCAAGGAGCAGATCAAATACTATTTTTGTATATGGAAATTAAAAGTATTATTATTTCACATTTAATTTTTTTCCTTGAGCTTATCAATCTGATCATATCAATAAGAAGTTTGTTTTTGAGAAGTTGTTTGATTTCTATTTTCCCTCAAATATTTTATTTCCACATATCCTACAATAAATACTTTTGAAATGTTATTTTTGTTTTTTTTATCCTCTTGGGCTATTTTGTCCTTATTTTTGTGCAACATTCTGAGGCATGTCCAAGGAGATTTTCTAAAGAGAGCTAACTTTATGCTGAACAGAATGTGGTCTTCTTCCAAGGTTAAAAATTATTGCCACATTTAATATTATTTCTGTGCATGCCAGCATCTCTTTGCACTATCTTGTGTAATATCCACTGTGATATGTAGATAATTATGCTATAGGCTTTGTCTAGTTTTGCTGTGTTCATAGAACACAATGGGCTCCTAGAAGAAGAGAGGATAACTAACTATAAATGAATGTGATTTTATAAGATGTTCTGAGGAAAAAAATCTGGTTTTATTTTTTTAATAAATAAAGAATTTCCAGCATGAGTTTAGCAGTAAAAAAGACAACAGAGAAAAGAGATCTTCTTCTATGTTATTTATAAACTATGTTATAATTCTGCACTGTTATAGTTATAATAGATATAACTATATGCATTCTCTTATTCCCTCCATATTAATGCATAATTAATGCTTCCCTCCATAAGCATTAACACGTAAAGGAAATTAATTGTTTTCTAGCATGCATTATGATGACTAGGGCATATGAAAAAATATTTCCTGATCAATATTTAAAATATATCAATGGAATCATCCATATATATTCTGCTATTCTTCTTTGTATGGCTTACTCTCCTAAATCTAACTGTTGCTGTATTTTGATCAGTGTTCTTTTTAAAATTAAAATTTTTTTTTTCCATTAGGAAAATGTTTGCATTATTGATGGACTCTGCTACACTGATGGGTATAAAAATCCTACCAGACCTTGTTTGATTTGCAGACCTAAAATTTCGAAATTTACTTGGTCATTTTTAGAAAGTAAGTTATTTTTTATTAATCTAAATATTTCCTGTACAAGATATTTTAAGTGATTTTTAAACCACAAGTTACATAAATGTGCTTAAGATGAACATTTTATTTAACTTTTTTTCCTAACTGCACAAATTACTTTGCTAGAAGAATATATAAGATTGTTTTTATTTTGTGTGATCTCAATGATTATATTACAATAGGGTATGGGCTTTTATTTTAATATTTGATAAGGAAAGCAAATGTGAAATATTAATGAAGAAATGGGAAGAGTTAATCTAGCTACACACAATTTGTGCAAGTCAAATAACTACTAGCAAAATGACCTCTCAAGCATTAAGTACACAAAAATGTTCATCAGTAAAACTCAGTGTGTTTAGTGTAAGGTGATCACCTTTGACACCAAAGGTTTCCATTCTGTGCTTAGCGTTAACTCTTTTCAGTTTTGTGACATGACATTTAATGTTAAACATTTAAGTTCCAATTGCCATGCAGTTATCACCTGTTAAATAAGATTATCTGGACTTGATAATCTATAAAGTGCCTCCCAGCCTCACTATTCTGTGACTCTCTGAACATAATATTGGGCAAATAATTTCTGGATTCTTTGTTCTGCCCCAAAATACCCTAAATTATAGTTATGTACTATATAATTTCTTCACTTCCCTAAACACAGCTGTGTGATTCTACACTGGCATTCTTCACATTCTTCTTTCTTAGTCAAAAGACCATCATAAGACACAAGATATAATTACTCCCTGGCTCCATGTAATTTTATGTACAGGGGTCCTACAACCTTATATTTATACGTGCTTTGTAATATCAGTATATATGTTATTGCATGTGCAAATTTCACTACTGTAGTGGACCATATGTCATGTGATTCATTGTTCAGCTGCAAGGTTCATGGGGTATTATGGGAAGACAATGAAAATTTGGTAACGAATTTAGTGCAAGAAATAAGGGGAGACATAATATAACTTCTGAGTTGCTGTCTTTTTTTTAATGGCTTTGGTATGACTAGTTCATTATAGACTCACAGATTTCAAAGATATGACAGGTCTGTGAATATCATCTATTTCGAACCCTTTATATTGAGGGTGAGGAAATTAAAATCAGTAAATTGTATAAGGATATATATTCAAGGGCAGAATGGGAGCCAGAACTACAATGTCTTGGCATCAAGGCTTCATTAATGCAAGCAAAGTGTCTGTGCCCAGTGTAATGAAATGAGGTTATTCTATCTACTAAGCAGGTGAACAAGAAAGAGAAACATTTAACAGTGTAAGACAATATAAACTATGTTTTAAATATTTCCATGAGCATAAAGAGAACACATTCCTTGTCCCCTAAAATAGCTACCATTCCAATGTGTGAGCTCAGCCACTGAAGGACTTCTGAGGAGCAGAGCATTGGTGATGACTAAATGACTCCCAATTGTTGTAACTGGGGAGGCATGAACAGCCAGGGAAATTCAGGGGAGCCCAGTGAATAATCCACTCATGCACAGGAAGTGAGAAATAGAGAAAAGGAGGTGGAAAGAGGGAAAGTGAAGCTGGAAAGGACTGAGAGCAAATGGGAGCCAGTGGGAAAGAACCAGCAGTGAGATTGCCAACACTAAGTAATCTCAGAAAAAGAAGAAGGTACATCCCATCTGTCTGGGTGATGAAAATGTATGTTATGCTATATTCAAAATGTTTTCAAACTGTCATAGCAAAGCTTGAAGATGGTACCTGTCAGTTACTTTTACATCTAAGAATGGAACTGAATTTATTCAGAATGTTAAAAAAAAATGAAGACGGGTAATATACATTTCAAGAGTTCAAACTTTATCAAAATGTCTGTCTCAGTGGGTTCTTTGTATCACATTTTTCCACTTGCTTTGCTACACAGGTACAAAAATAAATATTTTCTCTGTTACAGACAACCAACCTCCAGTGATTCAAATACAACAAGACAAATTACAGACATTTTATGGAGAAAACTTTGTGTACCAGCTCATGGCCTTTGATCCGGAAGGCTCTGACATCCATTTCACCATGTACTCTGGTCCCGAAGGAGCAAGTGTTTCCTCTACAGGACTCCTTAAGTGGAAAGCAGAGTCACAAACTCCCCAGCCATTTACTCTATACCTTAGTGATGACTGCAATGCTGAAACTAAAGTCACAATTGAGGTATTCTTTAAAATTGCATAAATGAGACTCAATTAATTAACAAATTTTAAAATTTATTATTAATTTAAAATGTAATTTATACTCTTAATTCATGAAGAGTAACTAAACTATTAAACATCTCATGGAAAATTAATCTGCCAAAATTATGACTGTCTTTGTAAACATTTAAAACCATACAGAGATTCTCAAATCTAGGTCACAGATCTAAGTTACTGACTCCTAGAAGAACATTTTCTTCAACACTTAACTATGATGAGGATAGAGAACTCATTCATGTCCATCTTTGAGAAAGATCTGTGATTAAACTATAATACCTGTCAACAAAAGGTCACTGCCATCAATCTAATGCCAATAGGAGTTCCAATCTGCAGTGTGGTAAAAGGAGAAACTATTCAAGTAAACAGTTTGCAAACCAGGAAGACAGCCTTGAGAAGAAACTGAAAGTGCTTTGTCAAAACAAAGGGAAGGCTTACTTTTATAAAAAAGTTCTCACTCTGGTCCCTGATTGGTTCATTTCAATGCCAATAAGGAATCAAAATATGCCCGGTCTGACTGGTCCAAATAACACTGTCCTACTTGGTCAGAATGGTGTATTCTGATTGTTCACTCTGCAGCTGTTCTGACTGGTCAGTAAAGATGCAAATGAGGATATAGCTATGCACTTTTGATTGGACAGGTCAGGTCTCAGCCCATTGATTGAAAGATGATTCCAGGAACTCCCTTATTAAGTGTTAATTCAAATGGCAGGAACACAGAGCAAGAGGCTAGCAAGTCAGTCTATAAATTTTTCCCTGGAATACAGTGTGCACAAGAGACCTCCACCCACAATGGCGTCTAGGCTCTGGCCATGAATTTGAGCCCAATTAACCACAAGGAGCCCTTCTTGGAAGGTAATTCCATCTCAGGGTCATCATACCTTCTTCCTTCAGGTGAAGAAATTTTAGATGTTGAATTATAAATCAAGAATGTAAATATAAGATTTGAAATAATTACTATGAGTTATATTTCTCATTTGATGATTGTTTAGACCATATTAGTCATTAGCTCCCAATATTGTTTTTTGTGCTCTGTATTCATTTGAAACACGGGACACACTTTCAAACAGAAGTAGTGTTGTGAAGGGCAGTATGTACTATGCTGTGTTGACCATGGTACTCAAGTGATTGTTTGCTCTCTAGATTGAGGATTAACTGCTTTTCATCTTAAATTTTTTTTCCTGCTTGCATTACTGAAATCAATCATCATGTAATATTTAAAAAAATGTTTTTAGCATTCATATTTCGGCTATGCCCTTGAGAATGGGCATAATTGCCTTATTAAACTATTTTTAAATACTGTTGTATATTAAATATACACCTATTTACAAAAATGCATGATCTGGTCCTACTTGTATACAAACATACCTTCCTATCATGACTTCTGGGACATAAACTGAAGATGACTTTACTACAAATGAAACACTTATTTTTCTTGTTTCTTTTTCAGTTGACTGTGAAGTCTTGTGATTGCTTGAATGGTGGAAAATGTGTGTCTGATATTAACTCTCCTCTAGGAAGTGGGGCATACCTGTGTGTCTGCTCACCTGGTTTCCAGGGCGGTCTTTGTGAAGTGAATGTCACTCAGTGCCAGTCGAACCCCTGTGGACTTGGGAGATGTGTTAGTGGCTTCCACAGTTATTCCTGTGAGTGTCCACCTGAGCTCAAAGGTAAGTATGGGTTCCTCATAAACAAATTAGTATATGAACAAATAAAAAAAGAAAGCTCCTTGGAACCTTCATCTACAGGTTACTCAAGCAAATGTATGATCCTAAAGATTTTTATACACATTTTAAAATTCTAGTAAAAGTCATCACAAATACATTTGTTATCCATATCTCCTTTTATTGTAAATTGCTTATTCATGCATTCTTACAGTTTTGCCCATTTTTATAATTTTGATAGAAATATTCTACTTTTACATTGTGTTTTGTAGCTTTCTAAACATTATCTGGTAGGTACAAATACATTAAAATGTATCACTATTGAAATATAATATAGAATAAGAAAAAATTGCCATGGGAAATATAAAAATTATCATTTAAGAGAGGTTTTATTTATTTATTAACTTAGAAATATCACAGTATAAAGTAAGAGTTAAAATCAAATGAAATGCTAACATACTTGTTAACTCATTAGTTGTCCTAAAATATCTGATTCCAGAAACCCCAAATAAGTATATAACTGACAACCTTTAACTTCCCAAGGCTTTCTAAAAACTAATATTAATGTTTTCTTTAATTTAAATAGATATAATATTAAATAAGTGAATACAAAGTTGTTGAGCTGATATTTTTTTGAAGGATATTTAGGTGCTTTTTTAAATACTCTTTAGCTTTTTAAAATAACAATGTTATCATTTTGGACTATTATGCCACAAACTTATAAACTTATATCATTTGGAAAAATTCAAATGATGATTCAATTGCTTCATGAATTTCTACAATAATAGAAGTTACTATCCATTAATGACTGTGAATTTATTCATTTAAAGAAGTTGCTAAAATTTCAAAGAGAAACACTTCACCTCAAAAAGTTTTATTGAGGAAAGACTGACTATCCTAGCACATAGTAACATTTTCATGGATTTCACAGCCAGTGCAATAACTGGACTGAATAAATTGTCCTTAAGCTAAGCTGACAACCATTCTTATAATTGTTTTTTTAATCACCAAGTTTTTAAACAAAGTTCAAATTGCTACTATAACATGGTAAATTTTTACCTGAAGAAGTCAATATTAATTGACTTCTAAAGTCTCCTTATTGATAGGAAGATCTTATGTAATTGAAGGGTCTGGTTTAATGTTAAATAGAATCTAACAACTTTATGTTTCATTGTATAGTAAATTTTTAAAACAGTATACTTAATATGTGACAGTTTTTGGGGGGTTAGGAGGACCTACATAAAAAGTAAAAGAATTCAAATAATGAGCACTGAATTGGTCCTATATTGGCTTTCAAATTAAGTAATTTGAACTCTCAATCTGTGTTTCATTTAGGCAAAAACTGCCAGGAGGATGTTAATGAGTGTGACTCCAGACCGTGCTTTCCGGGGACAGAATGCTTCAATACCTTTGCTTCCTATCGCTGTGGTTCATGTCCTGAAGGATTTCATGGTGACGGAAAAATGTGTCATGGTAAAGTCTCTATTTTCTGCCACACAATGTTTTTTGCTGAATTTAATTAATTTAAATCACTGGGTTTCATTCTCCCTTTTAGTCATGCATTTATTGAATATATGTGCATTAACTGTCATGCTTTAAGTTAGATGCAGGGAATGCAAAATTACAAGCATAGGGCAAAAAGAGGTTTACAGTTGTGAGTATGCAAAAGACAATTTATTCTTGTTATTATTTATTATTGTATTATTTTTCATATGAATAACTGTAAACCTATTTTTGCCCCACCCTGTATATATTTCCTCTTTCTGAGTCTGCGTATAATAGCAGGGAATATGACATGGAGTCACATAATTGAACATGGTGCTCTCTGTCTTTAAATTTTTTAAAACATTTTTAAAGATTTTGTTTATCTATTTTTAGAGAGAGAGGAAGGGAGGGAGGAAGAGAGAAAGAGAAACATTGATCGATTGATCAATGGGTTGCCTCTTGCATGCCCCCAACCAGGCACCTGGCCCCCAGTCCAGGCACTGACCCTGACTGGGAATGGCCTTTCAGTTTGCAGGATGCCCAACCCACTGAGCAACACCAGTCATGGTGGTGTTCTGTGTCTTTGATAGAATGCCTAGAGAGATTAGTAGGAATACTACCCAGCGAATCATGTCTACCTGGAAGGATAATGACGAGTTTTCAAAAGACAGTGTCACTATAGCTAAATCTGTTGTATTTCATCCAGAAAGAGACAGGCATTCTAAGCAGAGGAAACAGCAGGAGCAAAGGTAGAGTGGCTTCACACACACAAATGTCACAGCACACCTTGCGTAATGAGCAATTTGGTAAAAACCCGAAGTATGGGGGAAGGGGAACTGATACATGATTGGAAGTTACAGAGGTAGCTGGTGTCCAGACCACTAGGATACCATGAGAAACAGAATTAAGGTTCACATTTGAGAAAGTATTTAAGAGCAGTACAGGGGATGGACCACTTCTGGGTAAATAGCTATTTAAGTCTGAAGTTAACACAATATTATAAATACATATAGACATGAAGATATTCTGATCTAGCAAATGAAACGAGACACTAAAGAAGCTAATTGATAATACTTGGTCAGTGATTGAAATCAGGAGTGGATTTTAAATTTTATCAAATGCTTTTTCAGTATCATTTATTAACTTGCTATAATTTGTTAACATTTCCTTAGACTAACTTATTTAGAATGTTTTATGTATCAAATTACATTTTTACATTTTATATTATTTTCTTTATTGATATATTCATGTAATTAGGTAATGTAACTATCTTAATAAAGATACAAGTCTATTTAATCCTGATACAGTACTATATAACCACAGTAGTATATTTGATTTGCTAGTATTTCATTTACATTTTATGTGCATTTATAAATATTTATTATAGGATTATGCCATTCTGATTGAATATTTATAAAACTTTTCATCTCTTTCTGTGCATTACAATGGTTTTGTAAAATATTCTTTCCTTGATTATTTGGTAAAAGTTTTTCTATTCAGGTCATCTGTTCTGAGATTGTTTTGGGAGGTGATTTTAGATTATTTTTCATTTTTTTATTGTAATTATTATATCAGCTACTCACTCTATTGCTTCTTCAGTCATTTTAATCATTTATATTTTGTAAAATCATGTGTCTCATTAAGATTTTAAATTCTTATGAATACTTCATATGATTTAATATCATATCATATATGATTTAAAATCATATGAAGTATTCTTGTTTAACTTAAAATTATCCTCATATATGTAGCTTTCTCTCTTTTCTCATCTCCAAAGTTGTTTAATTGTACCTTCCCACTGAGAGATTGTCTATATTTTTTTATATATAATCATTTAGACTTGCTTTTCAGTTAACTGTCTCTTCATAACTCTTGTTTGACTTTTTGTTGATTTGCAGGAGTACTTTAATATTACATTTTCTTAAAATTACCTTCTTCATTTTCAGGGGCTTGCCTTGATCTATGTTGTCTTGTTATACAGAACTATTGACATTTTATGTAGTCAAATAGAGGCATCTTTTATTTCAGCTCTGTTTATAGTGTACATTTTAAGTACCTTCTAACTTCTAAGTTATGCATATAATCTTTTAAATTTTCTTATAAATATTTATTATTTTATATCATTTTATATTTTGCATTTAGTTCTTAGTACATCTGGAATTTATGTTGTGAGTTAGAGGCCCAATATTTTTTTCTTCCAGATAAGTAAGCAGTTATGTATAATCATTTATTACAATAAGCCATATTTAAAATAGAAAATTATATATGCCAAACTTTCATACTGAATTTAAATACTATATTTTATATATTAAATTCACATATAATTTAAGATATATTTCTGAGATTTCTATTATGTTTTTATCACCTAATTGTCTCTGTCTATGCCAATAATGCTTTATTTTTATTAGTATGGCTTAATAATATACTTTAATATTGCTAAGATAAATACCCTCTCACGATTCTTCTATATTGTAATTTTTCAGTATTTCTGATGCATACTTTAACCTGAACCCTAAGATATTAAATTTCAAAAGAAAACAAAGTGTTTTGCTAATGTGTATTTGCAAATATAATATGTATACTCCTTCATTTCTTCTACTATATTATTTTGTAATCTGGAATTAATTCCATTTCTTCTCCACTTCCTCCTCCAATCCTAACGCCAAAACTCTTGTATGAAGATGATTCACACAGAGCAGTTGGAGCAGGAAGGAGCAGTCCTTCAGGTACAAAGGATGGGGAGGAGGACAGACACATCTTTTCTCGGATCTTTAACCAGGTTTCCCGAGGATGCCTCTTGCACTTTGTGTTGTGATTAATTGCCGCATTGGTGTTATTTTTTTTTTACCTATATTTGGCACACTCCTGTTTCTCTGTTAGTCTGAACTCCTGTGCTTTCTGTGTTTTATGAAGTCCTCAAAATTACTAAAAATCTTTCATTGATCTTGTTTCTATTTGTCAATTATGTTAAGAATTATTTTTTATTGTTGTTTTGGTATTTTTTTCCTGCTTTTGATTTGTTTTCCCTGTTTTCATACTGGATATGAGAAGCTGAGCATAAAAAAATGCAACAACTGTAAATTGATGGTAGAAAGTATTAAGGGGAAACGCATCTAATCTCCACTTAAAATTGTCCATACTGTACAATTAATTAGATTGTTCCATATCAAAGAAATTGTTTAAAAAAAATTACTGGATAAGGAAAATAAAGTACTGTTGAATGCAGAAAAAAATGACACCCCCCTCCTCAAAACAAGACACACAAAAATGTTTAATTCCTACTTGAGCAATCAATAAAGAAGGGGATAAAAAAATTGCATCTTGTCAAGCTGGTAAAATGATTAGAGTCACAGTTCTTTTCCTCTCATACAAAAAAGCACTTACACAATTTATCAATTAATTTTCATATGAACATTCAGTTTCTGTCCTCCCCTTTCTAGTAGCCTTAACAACACTGAGTTTCTCAGGGAGGGAGCTGTGCTTATTTTTTAGAAAAAGGGGAAGGGAGGGAGAAAGAGCGAGTGAAACATTGATGTGAAAGAGGAACATCAACCCCTCTCATAAGCACCCCAACCAGGTACTAAACCCACAGCCCAGGCATGTGCCCTGACCTGGATGCACTGGGCAACTGTCAGCTTTGCAGAAGGACACCCAACCAATGGGGCCACACCGGCCAGGGCTTTTTTTTATTTTGAAGCCTAATGTGTACTAAGTGATCATGAATGTTTGCTGACTCTTTCTAACTCTTCATAAAATCATTAGCTGTTGTCTTTTAACTGTTATACTGTTTAACATTAGTGTTATCTGTGTATTCAAATAGACTATAAGTTTCTTGAAGGCAGGAGTCACGGGACGACTCCTCATCACTACACATTTCTTAATATAGTGCTACACATGTAATAAGTATTAAATGAAGGAATGAATTACTCAACATTCAATACTGTGGGAAGAGCGAAGATTAATAAATATTGTTATTTAACATTTCTCTCTCCCTCTCTTTTTGTTTAGATATAAATTTTCAGTCACCATCAGCAGAGCATTTACTAACTGGTACAAGTTCTACCCACAGTCCAGCTACTATCAAAACCAACACCACCTCGTACTTTCCATTAAAATCAGTTACAACTCGAATGAATAATTCAAAGCCTATTTCTCATCAGATACCAGGTTTTAAACATGTGGATCATAATCTGAGTACAAATCTCAGTTTGGGAGAGTTAGAAGTTCCTGTGAACAACCATAGTGCTATAGGCATTAACATGAACCATTCCCGTGACGAAGAAAATGTTACCCAGGGCACCATCCAAACAAAGGCAGGAAGACATAATTCTCAAGTTAACAAGTCTGCCCAAGCTTACACACAGCATAAGAATGGGTTTGCCATCACTATTTTGCCAAAAAAGCCCAAGTCGACCAAAATATCAACTTGTGCTAAATCTCCTTGCTTTCCTGGGGTTTCCTGTGTGCCAACCACAGATGGTCACTACCAGTGTGGACGCTGTCCCTTTGGATTTTACGGAGATGGAATCAGTTGCAGAGGTAGTATGAAAACTCTTCAGAAGATTCAGAGAAAACTCTCTAGTTCACATTAAAGTATTTAAAAAGATATGTTTTCTATTATTTATTAATTTCTATTTCCTCCATTTAATTCACTAATTTCTATTCATTTTATGTATTTATTATTTGCCTATACTTTTTCACATTTCAAAAATTAACATGGGCGTTAATTTTGGGGAGTTCCTGAGTTATTTTTTAAATTAAATATTTCATAGAATTATAACTATGTAATATAAATATATTTATTGAGTACCTACTGTGTTTCAGGTTCAATGGGAACATTTTTTATCAAGTTTGTCACATAATCCACAAGGACCCCACAAATTGGGTGTTATTTTTTCTGACTACATGGATAAGAAAGCAGAGCCTGAGAGGGCTAACTAACTTTCCTGAAACTAAGCAACTAAAGAGATGAAATAAAGATGTGACTAACATTGTGGCCTGGATTCTTTTCAGCTCACAGTGGGCATTAGCCCTTTAAAGTACTAATGCTGGCATACTTGTTTTATTTGCATAAACTAGGTTTCTCCAGAATTCTTCCAACTCTTGAGAATAAAACAAGCGGGGCATCACATTAATTTTGAAAAAAGTATTTACTTTTTTTATACAATTATCAGCATTGTTTCCTCTGATGCAAATCAAATGTTTGGCTTTGACAACACAGAAGCTATTTTTTTGTTACTGTTATTTTGTTTTGATCTATTTGAGATTTACTTAAACAATAGCATGTTGGAGTATTCCTTTGTTCTCAATATTCCCTAAAGGAACTCTTGTTGTTTTGTTTGTTTGCTTGTTTTTTCTGTAGGAATAATGATAATAATAATCTTAATGACTTACATGTTTATAATATAGACTATTATTAAGAAATAAAACAAAACAACCTCATGCATTTAGAATTTATCAGGTAGCTATAGAAGCTTAGGAATACAAACCTATAAGCTTATGGCGTGTTCCTGGCATCTTCAAAATTCTGATTATCTTTCCCATTCATCAACATTTTTGCCTGATTAGTATCTGACACGACACTGCCCTCTGGAAAAGCCTGTAATCCCATTTATGGTTAGCAGCCATCTCTAACATCAGGTTTTGCTCTGGGAGGAATTACCCATATGGTTCTTCTTTCTTACCCTATTAATCATTTTTCTCAGTCATTCTAGTAGTAAAACAAATATAAGGAGAAAAATAATTTCATGGATAAATGTAGTGGTTATTGTTTAGTAACAGGGTCAAATTTTCCAAATTTAAAAGAATTTTACTTTTACTATGACTAAGTTTATGGGCAACATGTATAGACTGTGCCAATAGCTCAGCCTTTTGTCCTTGATTTTTGCAGCCATTTGCAGACACCCATGTGGAAAAGGGAGGGAGTGTGTGGCCCCAAACATATGCAAATGTAAACTTGGTTACACTGGCTCTAACTGCCAAACTGGTAGGTATGACATTCATTAGTTTGCATAATTAATTTAATTGATAATTGATATTTCTAACTATGAGCTTTATTTTATACAGCTGTATGTCATCCTGATTGCAAAAACCATGGAAAATGCATTAAACCTAACATTTGTGAATGTCCTCCAGGACATGGTGGAGCAACCTGTGATGAAGGTAATAATTCAAATTGAAAATTAAATAATAGTGTTAAAATAAAACATTTTCTTTAAAGATAGCTAAATACATATTCATCAATGTTGGTGAGTCAAAATTTTTAATGTTTAAAATAATTTATCTGAACATTAAAAAAAATTTAAATTTCTAAAACAGAGATCCAAAGAGCAACAGCTTATTTATCATTGGAAAAATTATCTCCAGAAATAATTTTTTGAGGTTTAGTTAGGTTGCCATATCCCTACAACTATTCTTACCTTCAAGCAAAGGACACCTGAGTATTGAATGTCTGTAGCCATATAATTTTATTGTTTTGGTTGAAATCTTTTTTTTTAGTTTTTTTTAAGATTTTATTTATTTATTTTTTAGAGAGGGAAGGGAGGGAGATAGAGAGAGAGAGAAACATCAATGTGTGGTTGCAGGGGGCCGTGGCCTGCAACCCAGGCATGTGCCCTGACTGGGAATCGAACCTGCAACACTTTGGTTCGCAGCCTGTGCTCAATCCACTGAGCTACACCAGCCAGGGCTTGGTTGAAATCTTAAGTGGAGAGTTTATAAAATATTATTCCTAAAGTGGATAATATTAAATAACAAATTTGTTATTATTAAAAATAGTATTTTTAAAGAACATATGTTGGTAGATAATAATATAATTGTTAATAAAATAGAGCCACATTAAATGCTTTCAAAACAAGGTAGACATTAACAAATTAAAGTAAATCTAGAACAAACTACAGAAATAGTATCAGTAGCATATGAAAATAATTATGGAAATAAAGAAGTGTTCTATTTGTAGGCAGAAAATGAATTAAGTCCAAGTTTCACTTTCCAGAAGAAAGCTAAGATTATATATTTCCATTCAGTTAACTGTAAGTTTTATAAACCAAGACATACTAATGATCTGTGGGTGTTTTCAGAGTGTGAGCTCATAGTGAATCCCACAGAACCAAAGTTCACAGTAAAAGGTAATTGAACTTATTATAATTTGCTCTGACAAGAAGCTTTTAGTGTGATTGTGCTTCATAAACATAAACTGACTTTTTTAAAATTGAAAGCTGACTTAATAACATAATCTGTGTCTGCAGAAATATGTAGCCCACCTTGTCAACATGGTGGCACCTGCTTGGCTGGAAATCTCTGTACTTGTCCTTACGGTTTTGTGGGACCCAGGTGTGAAAGAAGTAAGTGAAATGGTCTCATATAATGAAAATGCTCCTTTGAATAGTTGATGGCTTTGATGCTAACTGATAAACTGAAACACCAAATAAAACGTAATTTATTAACAGTTAACATTCTGCATACTACTGGGAGTGCTAGGTGTCAATACTAAGATAAAGGAGTTTCTTCTTAGAAGCAATTTTCTTTTTGATCTTATCCATAACCATTTCTCCAATTTTTTAGATAAGAACTCAATCTGTTGAATTGCATATAAGTTTATGTCATTTAATTCATGTCTGTGAAAACTTTCATCAGTAACTAATAATTTTTCCAAATGGCCATTTCTTATTTACCATTCAGCTCAATGGTTTTCTACTTCCCCCTTCTCTATTAGCAAAAATAAAAGATAAAAATAAAAATAAATGAATGTGAGAATTAGAGACCATTTAAAGCCAAATGATAAATTATTTTTATCTTTCTCTCTGATCTTATTAATTAGAACATATAATTGGCAGTTTTGAGCTAGCTAGATAATAACCAATAATACAACCAATTCCAAGTCTAATTAACCTCTCTTTTATTTTTATCCTATGATCTCAGTGGTTTGTAACAGGCACTGTGAAAATGGAGGTGAATGCCTTACACCAGATGTTTGCCAGTGCAAGCCTGGCTGGTATGGACCCACCTGCGGCACAGGTAAAGTAAAAAATATTTTCAATAAATAGGTCAGTGAAAACACATTTTAAATGCAACGATGTCCTTAAGACTCACACTCCAAACATAAAACTAATCTGACAAGACTGGTATGAAGTTTTTATTTCAGACATATTTTTAAAAACCTATCTTTCACTTTCCTTCTTTTCTTGTGTTAGACCATAAACAGCTTTAATATTGTCCAACCCAACCAATATTATATTTTTTTGTTTTTATATTTTCTTCATCCACTTGCCTTATGGTGGAGAGAGACATATCTGTGCTGCATCTTCTAGATCTCTTTTCAGTTTTTTTTCCACAGATTTTCTACTTCATTAAACACTGAAGCAATTCTGGTTAAGTGGGCACCATCACATGATTTCATTTATTTATCACATTGTTGGGCTTACTGCTTTGGCAGCAGTGTTTGCAATTCTCTGTGTTTAATCTAATGCATTGGGATCTAATGGCTTTTCTTACATAGATTTAATTCAGCGTTTTTTGCTTACCAACTATGTGTGAAGCATGATGCAAAGGGAAACAAAGATCAATTTGATTTTGCCCTGATTTTAAGGAGCATATCATTAGTGAAAAAGACACAGGATACAATTTTAGAAAGACTATGATACAAGTTGAGCTATAATAAGTTATGTAATTAATGTACAGTTCCTTGGAAACAGAGAAGAGGAAAATTAATTTTGGAAAGTACAGTTTGGAAGAAAATTGTATTTGAGGTAGACCTCAGAGAGTGGATAAAATTTGGCTTCAAAGATGAACAAAGTTTTTACTCGTATATGGGGTATGAAACAAAAAACAATAAACGAACAAACAAATCAAACTCATACACACAGACAACAGAATGGTGGTTACCAGAGGGGAAGGGAGTGGGGGGAGAATGAAGAGGGTAAAGGGGCCAAATATGTGGTGATGAGCACACAAAGGAGGATATAGATGTTGTATTATGAGATTATGCACTTAAAATTTATTTAATGTTATTAACCAGTGTTACTCCAATAAAGTAATTTTAGAAAAGAATAATGAAATCAAGGTACCTTTCAAAATGGAGCAAAGATAAAGAAGCAAAAAGAAAGATTGTTTTCGAGTGTGCTAGGACTTGAGTGTAGTGTTCCCTTTGGAATTGGGAAGAAGGGTTGAAGAGGTACACATGGCCATGTGTACCTGAGCTGATTGCAGACCGTCCTGCTTGAGCTTTTGAGTTGTCTTATAATGGCAAGTCATTCTTTCAGCTTACCCAGGGCATTGTGCGTTCTAACCACAGCCTCCACGTTCTTAGCTTGGTATTTATTTGTAAGCTTAATGAACAGACTTACAAAGCTATTACCCAGTTATTTCATTCTTCTTATGCTTGGAAAAGTCTAATTAATTATAGATTAAGGGTTTTACTTGCAGTAAAAATAAAATATTCCTTTATGCACTATTTTGTACTCCTATGTAGCTTTTACTTTTTTAAATAATAAAACTGTTATGGTCTCTCTCCCTCCTGCTGTTCATTAGCTTCATGTGACCCTGTTTGCCTCAATGCTGGTTCCTGTTATAAGCCAAACACTTGCCTCTGTCCCAATGGATTCTTTGGTGCCCAGTGTCAGAATGGTAATTATTTTTCCTTTATAAATAAAAATGCAAAGGCAAAGTTAGACAAACATAAACAAAGCTCTGAGTGAATACCAAGAAACAAGTTCCAAAAGGGAAGATGCTCTTCAACTTTTTTCTCTATTTCATATTATGTTCTAGTCTGGCCACCGAAGGCTCACTTCATAAAAACATATCAGAATTATTATGAAAAATGGTTATATTTATTCAACATATATTTGGCTCACAACTGTGTCAGTTGTCTGTGCAGTTTTGCAGGACCAAAGTTTAAAATAAATAAGCAAAGTTTTTTTTACAGCTTATTATAGTGAAATGGTGCCATTTTTGTTGCCTTTACAGCAAAAACATTTGGCTTGTGCTCCATCTGATGTCCATTATTACCTCACGATGTCTTTTGACTTTAGGTTCGTTAAACATTTATGCAGAGTCAGCTTTGCATGGCACTGTGGAAGGTGATGTGGGAGCATGAAAGATGCCTGTTATTTCAACCCTTTCCCTCATAACGCAGATGCTGTAGGGCTTTTCAGAATAATGAGCATGTCCTGATGCTGTCAGAGTAGGCATGAATTAAGGTCAATAAATGAAATTTGAGTTGTATTTTCTGATCTTCATATTTCTGAGTTTATGCAAAGTGTAGGGTTGATTTTTTAGTGAAAGCATGTCAGGACACATCATAATTTAATTCCTAAAATCTATACTTTTCCTACCATGTTCCATTTTGATTTGATCCCATTCTTTTATTTGGAGTTTCGCTAGGAGTCTTGGTTTTCAATTGAGACAGAACAAAAAAAAAAAAACAAAAAAAAAAACACCTCATCAGTCTAATACTAGATATGTGCCCACAAGAAATGAGTTCTTTTAATTCAGATTTCCTGTAAGGAACCAGATGGAGGAAGTAAAGACAAAGTTAAGGAAAATCTTAAAAACCAGGAGACAAAGTTGAAACCCAAGTTTATGAGTTATAGGTATAGTGTTGAGTAGAGAATGTAAGATGGGAAATGAAAATTTACATCTCTCATGCTATCAATACTTAAATGTAAGATATAAAAACATTTCTCTAAAATTTTAATGCCAACTGTATAATTGGGAAAGGAAGAAAATCTCTAAATTATCATGGAGAACTAAAAATGATCTATTGAACACATGTCATGTTAGCAGGTTTCAGAATTAGCTAGTCTCTACAACTTCCCAGCTGACATGGATTTTGGAACTCTACCTAAGGTTTACAGGGCTTAACCACCTTAGCTTTCAATTTTGAACCACACAGTTGCTGTCAGGTACAAGTGAGACATGCAGTCAACTACCTGTACATACGATCAACACATTGCCAGCTACTATTTTTTTAGAATACTTTATTTATTTATTTTTAGAGAGAGGGGAAGGGAAAGAGAGGGAGAGAAACATCAATGTGTGGTTGCCTCTTGCATACCCCGTACTGGGGACCTGGCCCACAACCCAGGTGTGTGCCCTGACTGAGAATAGAACTGGTGACCCTTTGCTTTGCAGGCCCTCACTTAATCCACTGAGCTGTACCAGCTGGACTGACAGCTACTATTAAGTAATAGTATTATTGTCATTAAGACATGTTATAGAGGTGCAGAAAAAATAAAAATATTATCCTTATTCTTATTAAATCACATGCCCTTTTGAGACTGATATGAGCCCAATTGGTAGGAAGGAAAGATGGTACACACACCAAAAGCCATTGAATACAATCAGGCAGACTATGGTTAAGAGTAAGCTATAAGGAGTATATACTGTGGATTCTACAGATTTTCAAAGAGAAAGATAGAAAAAGAGGTAGAAACATCATGAAAGAGTCAAACTACACTATTAATAACCAAGGCTTAAAATGTATAGCTGGAGAGATGATTCAATACAACTTCCAATTTCCTCCACCCCTTGAATGCCATTAGCCTGATCCACACAGAAGCTGAGGCCAGACTACTTGGCTCACTTTGGAGTTCAGATGAAGGATTTATCTTGAGCTTAGAAGGAATTTTGTAAATATATATATGAAGGTGAATTTTCTCCCAAATCTCCTTTTCCTGAAATGGGATTCGGAGTAGACATGACCAGGCTAACTGTAGTGTCATCCATTTCTCTATATTTACTCTTATCACATGTACTTTTTTGAATAAATGTAATGTTATCTCTATAAATCAAGTTTTGTGAAATGGATGAGTATTGATTATACAAAGTTACCCATCATAAATAGGTCTTCTGTTCATTTAATTTTTTAGTTCTAAATTTCTAATATAGGTATTTCCTATGGTGTTTTTGTAATAAAATAATATATTTTTAATAAATAGAAATAATTTTCAATTGCATAAAGATTAAGAAGCAGAAAATAAAAGAGCACTTCTCCATAATAAAAAGTAGCAATAAAAACACCAGAGAAAGTAGACTCAAGCATTAACCAGAAAAAAAGCTCAGTCTAAAATGATGAAAATTATCCATTTGCTAAGTGATTAACAAAAAAAAAACAAACTCATACACACATACAACAGTACAATGATTACCAGATGTAAAGAAGGGTGGGGAGAGGTAGAAGAAGGTCAAGGGGCAATAAATGGTAATGGAAGGAGACTTGACTTTGGGTGGTGAACACACAATACAATATACAGGTGATGTGTTATAAGAACTGTACACATAAAACCTATGTAATTTTATTAACTAATGTCATTCCAATAAATTCAATAAAAATCAAAAGAAAATAAAATGCCCTGGTTGGTGTGGTTCAGTGGATTGAGCACTGGCCCATGAACCAAAGGGTTGCTGGTTTGATTCCCAGTCAGGGCACATGCCTGGGTTGCAGGCCAGGACCCCAGTAGGGGGTGCATGAGAGGCAACCACACATTGATGTTTCTCTCCCTCTCTCCTTCCCTTCCCCTATCTCTAAAAATACATTTAAAAATACTTAAAAAAAGAATATATTTGCTAAAATAATTCAATTATGTTGTTTTTTTACATGAATTACCACACTATTTTTATTTATAAATCTATTTGAAATCAGTTGAATTTTTCTTTCATTGTTTAGAACAAAAGAAAGCACCTATTTAAGATGGATCTAATTTAAATGGGGAGTCAGTCTGCAATATCCCTGTTATCAAAACCATTTCCTTGGACATTTACTTTTAAAAGACAATCTAAAGTCCATTAATTTATTATTCAGGGAAAGTTAAATTTTAAATTGCTTATGTATTTATTATTATTTTTAAAACAACTATATACTGTTGTCATGTCTAGAAGAAACATGAAGCAATAATAATCCTCTTATAAATGATGAGAAATATTAGCTCCTGAACTTCATGGAACAGAATCATACACAGTATATAGAAGATGCTATAGCACATTCAAAATTAATCAATAAATATTCCTAACAAAGCCAAGGATATATTGTTAAAAAACTTTCACCAAACACTCATATGTGACACTTCACAGAAATGTCACATATAAAGGTCTGCATTCATTACCTCAGTAGGTATTTAAAAGTTAACTTAAAAGCATTTTCTCAATATTATGTGACAGGTTTTTCAGATTCTTCTAACTACAGCAGAAAGAGAAACATTCTTACTTTGACTTATTTTCTTCATTTTGACCAGATCATTTCATTCTTTACTCCAAAGTATGGTGAAACATAAGATAAAGTTCATAATTTATGTACTGTAATACCAAAGACTCCATTTGTTTTGAACACTTCACCAGTACATTGCAAATTGTGCCAACACACTAGCAACTTATAGCTCTCAGCGTTTCATTTTATGATTTAGAAAGGATGATTTTAATAACTTGCAATTGTGATCTTTTTATTGTAATAGCATGTCTCTCTGCCTTATGGCCCCACAGATAACAAGCACCTGATACAATATGTAACATACAAGTTTGAATGTGTAAGATTCACAGACTGCTGCTCCGTATTCTTTTAGCTATTTGTTACCCTCCCTGTAAGAACGGTGGCCACTGCACGAGAAATAATGTGTGCACCTGTCGTGAAGGATACACTGGTAGGAGATGCCAAAAAAGTAAGACACCTCTACATGTATTTGCCAACTGCAGGTAAAGCAAACACATTATATAGCAAAAGTATTGCTATTTAAAGGCTGATATCTCATCTTTGTTACCTTAAGGCATCTGTGATCCTGTGTGCATGAATGGAGGAAAATGTGTGGGACCAAACATTTGTTCTTGTCCTTCTGGCTGGAGGGGGAAACAATGCAACACACGTAAGAGGAATACTCAAAATGCTAAGGCTTACGCTATCCTCTCAACATAAACTAGAATTTAAGACAAATTCATTTTCTTTGTTATTGTTTGTTTTTATTTTAGGTGATATCTTTTTGAAATAGAAATCTGAGTAAAATGCAAAGTCCTTTCAACTCCTTCCTTCGAGTTAGCAGAGGAAGAGGGTATAATGTATTTTCCAGTCTGGCTACTACAGTTGCCAGAATAAATAGCAAGTGTTTAAGTCCTGGTCTCCTAGTCTTAAGTGGTAGTTAGGTGAACGCTTTAAAAATCACTACCTAATTCCGTGGTCCCATCTTGTACCATCCAATTTAGAACCTCCCAAGGTGGGGTGCCACTTCTCTCAAATCCACTTAGTTTTTTAAATGATGGCAGCTCTCCTCATTCAAATATTTTATTTTTTCCTTTTTATAAATTATTAGTTAAAGTTAGCAGCTACTATAATTTATTGATCAAAGAGAAAAATGAGAACAACATAAATGCCTAAAAATTGGAGTAAAGTTAAATCACTATGCACTTTATGAATAGAACATTATACAACCATTAAAACCATGTTTTTTCAGGAATAAGTAATGACATCAGAAACATTCTGGATAAAATGTTCAGGGAAAAGATTCTTTAATCATTAACTTTTAACTGTTTCTCTTTTTTCCTCTAATGAACATTGTTGTGGTTCATGATAGGATTCAACTAGTAAATTATCTTTTTAACTTGTTTATATTTCTGTTTGCAGCTATCTGCTTTCAGAAATGTAAAAATGGTGGTGAATGTATTGCCCCGAGTATATGCCATTGCCCCAGCACCTGGGAAGGAACGCAGTGTCAAATACGTAAGCCTACAGCTTTGGTTTTCTACTGTAGGTACCAAACCTCAATCTGTTATAATTATTAGTCAGGGAGCAGGGAAGAGCCAAGCAGCTGTCTTGGGTTTCCCATAGCTCCTAATATTTGTTTAATTTACAACCAGTGTTTACCCATACAATATACCGTAGAAGCTTTCAGCACTTATTTAACAATGCTTCCCATGCAATTTCAAATCTTTTGAAGTATCCTGAGGGCCTCCTACATATATCAAAATTTTATTCCTACATATATCAAAATTTTAACCCTTAACACCTCAATTTCTAATTCAAACTAAGTAAGCATAGGACTCCTCTAGCTTGGACATTTTATAACTTCTAGAAACATAATTTATAGACCTAAACATCAATCATTGACATGAAATTATTTTTGCAACACTCAGGCAAAATAAAGACATGTATGTTTTGCTTAAACCAACAAACTTCAGCTAGCTTTTATTTACTAAGAATTAATCTTAGATCACACAAACTTGAAAAGCATTTAAATTAGCTTCTATATTTCTAAGAATTTTAGCATACCCAATTATTACAAGCCATTGCCTTTAAATTAATTTTTAACACCACTATTCGAAGGTAGAAAATTATCTCACATTTACTACATAGGCAGGCACGAACAGAAACCTTTTAGCCATGAGAAAAACTCACTAGTTTATAAAAGAACAATTGGATCCAAATTTCCTCTGGAAGCATTTACAATTTATGTGTGTCTTTGACAAGTTCCAAATGACCTCCCTTTTAAAATTAGGACAGACGTTTTTAAGACCTCAGAGAATTGGTTTGATACCTAACCGACTTCATGGGTTAATCTATTCATTTAAATCCTCTTTTTGAAGCTTCAAGAGATGAAACTTTAGAGCCAGTTTATTCAAATTGTGTGCGTAAAAATTAATTTAGAAGTGTCAAAGGTCCTAATTTCGGCCCTCTTAATATTACTGGGAGGCTGACTGTGGTGGGCCTTGCAGGCCTCTGAGACATGATTTTCCAGATTAACTTTGAGAGTTATAGTTTTGAGCAAAAACTTTTAGGGAAAACCAGCCCTACACCCCTCCAGGGCACCCTGCCCTTCTCCCCCGGCTTCCTGCCAGCTTCTCTGGGATTGGTAACATTACCACACTGGACACGCTGGGGCGTCCATCTCTACCAGTCGGGATTCAGAAAGGGGTGAAGTCTGAACTACCACCACTCTTTGGCTACTTGGGCTGGGGAAGAAAGTCTTCCTTTTTTGGAACTAAAGAAAGTTCAGTCATGTAAACAGCACAGCTTTTGTTCAGACTTTTATAAATCTACCCAATTAAAAAGCTGAAATTAAAAGCAGCAACTCTTTTTTCTTTTTAACATCAATGTGTGGTTGCTTCTTGTGTGCCACCCCCCACACACACACTCAATGGGGACCTGGCCTACAACCCAGGCATTGGCCCTGCCTGGGAATCGAACCAGCGGCCCTTTGCTTTGAAGGGCAGTGCTCAACACACTGAGCCACACCAGCCAGGGTGTTTTTTGTTTTTTGGTTTTTTTTCTTTCCATGGGTTATCTCAACCTTTATCCACCTCTAAAATTTTCTGAGCACAGCTTAAATAAAGCCATAGCTGGCTACTTAAGAGCAAGGAGACCCAGAATTCTGAGAGAAACTTACCAAGCTCACTTGATATTGAGCAGCAAGTTGCTGTGATCCTGGCTGAGCTTCTTTGAAATCCTGACGCACTACGTTTCATAAGCACTGATGTAAAAGACGTCCATACCTGTGCGGAATTTTTATGCATTTATTTGAGCCAAACTGATGACATATGCCAGGGAACAAGATTTTTTAAAGTTCCCTTCCTCAAAAGGCTTTATTTCCAGCTATCCGGAGACTGTCTAAATATTGATGACGTTATTTGAACAAGATATCCTGTTACCATTTTCTGGAAAATTGTTTAATAACTATTCAGATCCATGATGTTGTGACATGAACAGTGCTTAGCTGTGCAGCTTTGTGCATTACACAACCTGCCTGACCACATACAACAGTCCTGATGAAAACATAACCTTTAAATGTTGCATTTATACAAAGGAAATATTATCTCAAATTATACTACCAGTTTCCAACATGAGGTATTGAAGCAGATATCTCTTCCACGAAAAATAAAGTGTATTGCATATAATGTGATGTTATGCTTATTTTCACTGAATATTGCTTAAATGCATTTCCACATCCTTAAAAACATAACTTTAAATGATACATTAAGTTCCACAGCACTAACACTATAATCCACTTGACCTTTCCCCTTCCGTGGAACATTTTAGTTGTTTAGAAGTTATCACTATTATAAGAATTTTGTCTCTGTAGTTGGGCATGTAGATAGATGATAGATAAGTAGGCAGATAGGTAGGTAAATTGATAGATAAATGATACTGAGATATATTGAAATAGAGACAATTTTAAATTTCATTAGGAGAGGTTTTAAGGGAAAACTTTCTAGTACAGACAGTGTAGAAATCTTTAGAAAGTCTCCAGTAGAGTTGTTTCACTTTAAATGCCTGATGGTGTATAAAATTGTCTGTGTGGTCCATACTGAACTGTCTTTTTCAAATTTTTGCTAAATTGTTGAAAAGCAAATTACAAATGCCATCTTATGTTACTGATTTGAATCTCCTCTGTAAAGATTAAAAAATGTATATATTTTAAATACCTGAACATATAGCCAATGAAAAGTTTGTTTACTTTAATGATGTCTTAATGTCACTGTGCAACTGTTATGTTGAGCTTTGGGTGTACTGTTTTTGGTGTGTGTGAGTGTGTATGTTTTGCATTATAGTTTGCATTCTGGTTACAGGAAGATGGGCGAACAGTTGGTCATTCATAGATTCTTATGACTGTTACTGTAGCCAAGTGGTTGAATAACTTGGGACCACTGGAACAGAATGTGTCACAAACACTTGTGTCAAATGGTGGTAATTGAAAAAATGTGTGTATTGCAGCAATTTGCAGTCAAAAGTGTCTTTACGGAGGCAGGTGTATACTTCCTGATGTGTGTTCTTGCCGCACTGGATATTCAGGAGTCAAATGTGAAAGGAAAATGCAGGTATTTAAACTTTTAAAAAGAAAACAAATATTAAATATTGACATATGCTATCTACTCAGATATTCTACTTAGTAACTGACACCTGTTAATGTTTTATTTTCTTTTATTTCCAAAATAAAAAAATATATAAGGATTTACTATTTGCCATTAAATCTAAAAATATTATTTTGTGTCATTATAGAGTTGTCTTATTATTAAAAATATTGATGTAATTGGAAATTCTTAAGGAATTTCAATGTGTAGATATAACCATCAAATGTTGTCGAGTATTTTACAACACTGGAGCTAAAAGAGAGCCTATATTCTATCATACAGATTTAAGACACCACTAATTTATGTTTTGGTCAAATAGATAAAAAGACCACCCTCAGGGGTGGGGGTTGTGGGTCTGGGTGGAAAAAAAGTGAAGGGACTAAGAAAAACCCTCATCGACACAGACAATAGCATGGGGATTTTTAGACAGAAAGCGGGGTTGGGGGAGGTAGGAGAGGGTGTAAATGGTGATGGAAGGAGACTTGACTTTACGTGGTGAACACACAATACAATAGACCAATGATGTATGATAGAACTGTACATCTGAAACATATATAATTTTATTAACCAATGTCACCCCACTATATTCAATAACAATTTTTAAAAGGGGCCACCCTCATCCCTCTCAAAAAGTGCTACCACTTTTAAATAAGTGAATCACTTCTTCATTGATTTGGGGGTGGCCCTAAACATTTTCAGTGGATCACGTGCCACTAAAGACTTGTCAGTCCCCATTCATTTATTTAACAGTAGTTATTTCTCTTTATTTGTTCTGTGTTACATTCCTTCTCAGGGAAAGCCATACAAAAATTCTTTACATTATTAGACTTAGGATTTATTTAAATTTCAGAAATCAAGAAAGCAAAGGAAGAATAGTTGCTTTCTTAGAGTGTCTGCAATTGGCCCATACTAACTGGTAAAATATCTATTTTAAAAGTTTCTGTAGTCATATCTGTACTCATAAAATTGAACTGAATTTGTTTGGTCCCCAATCTAAAAATTCTAACTATTAACAGCTGAGATTATTTTTCAATCCCAGTTTCTATATATACCAGGGTGACTATCATGATCCCAATGAAAATTGTAGCAGAACTCTCAAAAATTGCTTAAAATTCAAATGTATCAGTTTTAATTTAAAAAGCAATTATACGTTATTTAGCACTTCAAAAAGCTAAAGGGTCTTGAAGTATGCTGATGTACTGGAAGTTGAAGAATGATGAGGAATTTTCTTAGAATCATGATACTGAGCCAGTCTGGCCTAGAAGCAAAGTAGATGTGTAAATGTTTTTTACCCTAGCACTGGTGTTCGGCCTGCAAGTGTGTGGTCCCCATTTTGAAAAACACAACATCACAGTGGTTTGCAAACCAGAAAACAAAAATTATTGAGTACTTCTTTGATCAGCTATTGTTGAGAAAAATAAATATAAAGCCTTGAGTTCTCCTTTTAAAGGCAGCCTTCAAGTAACACATATGTGTTATTTTATTAGAGATTTTTATGGCACAGAAAACCATGTGACTTCAAAATTTTTCAAGTCCACTTTCACGTACTAAACTAGGTTACTTCTCTTTATTTTAATTTTATGTATTTCTTTACCAATTTAATCTTTTCTCATTAGGTAAATAAGGAGCAGGATCTTCATCCCCACTAATGGTGCTATTGAGACGGCAGCTGAAACCATTTTAAGAAGAGAACAAAAGTCATGGGGAAGGAAGACGAAGACAAAACACAAGACTAGCTCAAGAACCATGTCCTGCTTTGCTATATATAACCTGCCGTCCCGAATTCTTGACTGCAATTTTCACTCTAGCTTTACTCCGTTGGCTCACTGTTGTCATCAACTTGATTTGTTTTTAATATTTCTTTGGTTCCTAAACATAGGGGGAAAAGTTCATTTCTCTTTAGCAGAAAAATAAGCAACCTAGCTCTGTTCTGTGGGTATTCACAGAAACCCTCCTGTCTCTTCCTTGGCTTCTCTCTTGTCTACTTCCTCAAAGAAGTGTTTAAAGTGTCTAATATCCTCCTGTCCCTCCTCCAGCACCCTGGGGTCCTGGGTGAAAAAAGAAAAAGAAATGGAGGATACTGATTGGATTTTTAGAATCTTTCAGTGAAAATGACAGGATTACTGGCTAGAAAAAAAATGACACAGAGCAAGGGAAAGTTGGCCAGAGGAAAGAGATCCTGAAGAGAGGGGGTTGACAACCAGCTTTGAGGCTCATAATCTGCTGGCTAGTTGCCCAGTGCACTTAGCATTGTCACTGCCACTTTTCTCTCTGTGAACAGATATCAGACCCCTCTGAGCTTCAGTTGCCTCATCTGTCATATAGGACTAGTAATAATAAAACCATGGGATCATTATAAGGGTTAACTATGTTTATACAGTATATGCGAGTTACCTAGAACAGTGCCTGGTATGTAAAAAACACTATGTAAGTTTGTCATTAGTTATTTCATACATGGAGGGACAGTGAGAAGTGGAGAAAGAAAAGAATGAGAACAGAGACTTGAGAGACATGTTGCAATGCATTGTGAATATCAATGTTTTTTTTTCCCGAAGTATATCGGGAACTAAAATTATTCAGGCTTATCGAGCGTGGAGGTTTCTTGAATGTAACCCTTTGCCAAATGGAGTCATGTAGTATTCAAACCCCACTGAGTCACTACTGCTTTGATCGGTAAATACGATCTGGATTACATCTGAATTCTATGGAAGTGGTGCTTGGTCTCTAGCTGCAAACATAGAACCTGCAGAGCTTTCTGGATCATGTCAGAGGAGGGAGGCAGCATATGAGCAATGGTTGAACAGTTTTCTAATATTCATGGAACTCTGATTTCCCTCTTCCTCCTACAGGTAAAAGGCCACTGAGTAATATCAAGTGAATGAATTACAAGCTTACACCTTAAGAACAGAAATTTTTATTTAGAAAATGTTGAAGATAGCTACTTGAAATCTATTTGAACATCACTTAAAACAATATTTTAAAGACTGAAGAAACTAATAAAATATAGTCTTAGTTGTCATTGTTAGAGAAAAACAAAGAAGAAATCCCAGTAATCTAAAATTGACTTTGCATTGTGATTTGATTTTCACATATTGAGACAATGTAGCTGATAGTCCAGATATTCACAATATTTAATAAACTGATTATTGTCCCAGTCTTTACCATGACAGTGTCTTTATCGTCAGGGATCAGTCAGCACGACAGAAGCCACTCAATGTACTCAGATAAAAAGTGTTTAATGTAGAATTATGAATTTGCAGGGCTTTTGGAAAATCTGGGAGTGAGGATGGAGGGCGTAGGTGCAGGGGTGGGTTAAAGGCCAGGAAAGCAGCTGCTGAAGGTCAAAGAGGTTGATACTGAAGATGTCAGTGCTTCTCAGAAGCTTTCCTGGAGCTGCTGCAACACCTGAGAATCTTCAAAAATTGCCCAACCTTCTCGGGCAATGTGGGTCATGATCCACAATTCACTGAAAAGCCACTGTGAATCTTCCACCTACCCAGGGATGTAGCAGCACATACCTCTGAAAAAAATGGCTTCCTATGCATTTCCATTGTCTAACTCTCCTGAAAGGTTTTCTCAATGGCAAGCTCTGAACCTAGAACATCACAGAGAAGGGGATTCTGGAAAATTGAGTTCCCAGAGTTGGAAGGAAGTAACAGTGGTGTCAAGGGCACAGCTGTGAGCAGACAAAAGAGACACTAAATGTTCTGCATCCTATTGCTTTGGCCCACATTCCCGAGAAGAGCCATCACTTTTCACTGATAAAAACACCGCATTTAATTTTGTCTGTTTTTTCCCTCCAGTCTTTCTACTGGTCTTAACTGCACCATTTCTGGACAAGGGGGAAGAAATAATGAAATTTTTGTTTTTAAAAGACTTGTGGGGTTGAGGTAAAATAGGTGAAGGGATTAAGCAAAACAAAAACAAAAACACCTCATAGACAACAGTTTGGTGATTAGTAGAGGAAAAGGGGAGTGGGGGAGGTAAGAGAGAGGAAAGGGGGATAAATGGTGGCAGAAGGAGACGTGACTTGGGGTGGTGAACACAATACAGTGTACAGATGATGCATTATAGAATTGTATACCTGAAACCCATGTAATTTAATTCAAATGTCACCCCAATAAATCCAATGAAAAGAAAAAGATTCTGTAATTGTGTTTATGTTAAAATAATATGAATATATCTGCTTCTTTTAATTCTTTTAGAATCTTGATCTTTTTTGGTGTAGAAGCAAGAGAAAAATATAAAATCAAATCCCGAAATATCAAAAGAGAAGTGTATGCTTAATAAAAGCAAAATTAAGTTATATAAATTGTTAGGGAAGCGAGTACTAACAACAAGGAAGAAACACATAATTGAAAGATTTGTCTCAGAGATACAAATAATTATAGATTAGAGTTATAAATATTTTTCATTACTATCTCACATTTGACTTCAAATGTTTCATTTGTTGTCCAAAGAATCTTTTATTTTAATTTGAACATACTTATTTTAAATCATGTGAGTTTACAAAACTTACTTTGTTTATGCAGAAAGAGTAAACATTCCTAAAAGCTATGTCGAAATGATAAGGTAAAGTAAGACATTATTAGAATAAAATTATTCTAACTCTAATAAGAATCTTTTAAGATCTTTTAAATCTAATAAGAATTAATAAGATCTTAATTTACTATTTGATATTTGCTAGAAGGTACTTTTAAAGAATTATTTAAGAGAATATAATGTTTCACAATGTTTTATTTTTGTAACCAAAAATATAGAAATATAAATGCAAAATAAATATTTAACAATTAGTGTATACTTAAAATTTTAAGCTCTTGTGAAAGTATGAGTACTAGAAAGGAAAAGTACTATAGATAAAATTTTTTAAGTTAATAATTGGAACTGAAATTTCTACTATGGAAATAGACATAATTTTCTGAAATGTATTATTTTTAGAGAGAGAAGGTGGGGAGAGAAACATTGATGTGAGAGAAACAACAATTGGTTGCCTCTCATACATGCCCCCACCAGGGACTGAACCCACAACGTAGGTATTTGCCCTGACCAGGTATCAAACCGGTTACCTTTCACTTTTTGGGATGTTGTCCAACCAACTCAGCTACACTGGTCAGGACTAGATATAATTTTTATATCTATCTCTTTGCCACCTTTGCTTGGTATACAATATAGCAATTTTATCAGTAATCCTATATAATTGATTTTCAACATATACTTTTTATGGTTAAAAATTATAATTGCCCAGGGATTCATTCTGAAATATCTAAACCAGTACATAAGTCTTTCATAAACATTTCCTAGATCCACACCACAAACCCCAAGCTACAATTAAAATATTAATCAGTAGACTATCCATTTATAATAGACTTAATGGATTTGTGTATGCTAATGATGAAGAACTGCTATGGTTTATAGATTTTATATAAAAGTACTCCTTATGAAATTTAATGACTCATGTAAATGAAAGTAATGTTTTAGAAATATAATGTGAGTTTAGAAAAGCAAGTAATTTAATAAATTTATGGAGAAAAATTAATTTTTTCCTTATTTCTGGTGATAGTGTACATCTATTACCTTTAATAGTTTTTTTCCAAAACTATTTGGAAAATACTTTGAAGATGAGTGTTTGAGAATTTAGCAAAAATACTTGAAAATATTTAACATTCAATGTTAACCTTATAAATAATTCTCCAAAAAAAAAAAGTTCAGATCATAGACATTTTTTGGTATGCTTGGCTACTTTGTGTTTATTTCTATTAACATTGACATGAAATATTTGTGTTATCAAATATTCTTATCCTTTCTTTGACCCTCTATTTAAAATACAGCAGTTCCCTAAACTTTCAAATATCCCTAATAGCCCTTATTCCAAAATTTTAAAGTATCAGAATCTTTTTGATAGAATTATAAAAGTACTTATCTTCACCCAAGGATATTTCCTTTGCTGCTTTTAGAGAGAGAGGAAGGGAGAGAGGGAGAGAGAGAGAGAAACATCGATGTGGGAGAGAATCATGGACCGGCTGCCTCACGTAGGCTTCCAGACAGGGGATGGGTGGCTGGACGTGGATTGTCCATGTCCGGAGTTGGGATCACGCCTGTCTAGATTGGGGATCATCCTACAGCCCAGGCATGTGCTCCGACCAGGAGGTGAACTTGCAACTTTTGGACATGGGATGACGCTTCAACCAACTGAGCCACACTGACAAGGGCTAAATGCATTTTATAGTTTATATTTACAAATTATGAAACTTGTCCAAATTACAACATGCATGATAAAATTTTAAATTGTAGGTTAGAACTATTTGGGGATATTTGGAGCCCATAATGGAAACATATACATATTATACACATTATACCCATTTTGTAAACACCATTATAACTGTGAATTGTGTTTAAAATTTTAATTGGCTAACGTTTAAAACATATATATTTATTAATCAAATTAATGTAATATTTTGCTTTCTTTTATGCCACTTAATAATTTATTTCTTATGATATACATGCCATTTACTTCTAAAATGAGATGAAATGTCCTAAATATTAAACATATTAATAAGTGAAAAAACACAATAAAAATTGAAAACCTAAAAGGAGAAACACTGTATTGCATATCTACAATTCTACAAACTTTAAATAACAAGAAAAAAAT